TTTAAAAAAATGCCAATTTATAGTTGCCATGTGTACTTTGAAATTTTATCATGTCGAAAATATTTGCATTTAGAATTTGTATTCTACTAATTTATTAGATTCATTTAACATGGTTATACTGAAAGTAAAAATTTATTTGTATTGTCAGACGCACATTCAATACACAGGAAAGTAGTAAATATCATTTGAATCTTTAGTAAACTTTCGAGCATATCATCCTTTTGCTTGACGAAATTTTAAAATATACTGTTGAATTTTGCTTAAATTTAGAATTTAATTAGTTCGTACTCTACTATATTCGTTCTATTCTGACTCTGCTAGATCAATAATACTACTGCTCTACTAACCAATTAGTTAGAAGATTCTATAAAGTTCCAATATGATCTAAGTACTGTTATTACGAATGCGCCTTTATCACATTTCTAGGAAATTCATCCTCCTATCTCCCGGTTGCTAGAGGCTTGCGGTAGAGGAGTCGCAAAAACCTTTGATGTAAACTTACATTTACTATTTTCTTCGAAAATATATCAGAAAAGTAGAGGCTTTTTTAATGTAAAAGATTGCTACGTAACATTCAAAAATATATCGAAAAGTTTTTCCTACAATTTGGTATAGATTAATTTCGTTTACAAAAGAAGTTGTCCCGTTGATAAAGACTCTGACACGATAATTCTGTGCGTCGTTAATCTACTTTTCATAAATGCTACAGTTTTTTGACAAATTACATTGTTTTTATTTTTTACCTAATTGTTGACTTGCAAGATTTCTTGTTGTTCTAGTAAAAACTCGATTGATTATTTCTTGTTTTGAATCTTAAAATAAAAAAAAACAAAAAATTTCAGAACAAACCATTCTAAGTTCATAGAAATTTTACATTGAATAAAAATCTACTATAGATTATTCAAACATAAAACGAAAAGTTCTTATGTAATTATTTAATTTGAACTTTCTTTTCCTTTTTTTCTAGAAACTCTTCCAACAACAAAAAGTCGAAAACGTACTCGAAAAGTTCTTCATCCCATTGCAACAGATACCGAAATTGATAAGGAAGTTTCATGCTCCTCACCTTCGCCTTTAACAGATAGTGTCTGTGCAAGTCCAGCTCGTCGAGCACGTCTTCTTAATCCTCGTATGTACTTTTCTTTTGTTCTATTCAACAAAAAAAAAAAATTATTTTCATAAACAATTATAAATTCAGAATTATCGGCTGCTAAAGTCGCACTTCATTCTCATGTTTCACGTCAGATATGTGGTCGCGAAGAGGAACGTCGTCTTATACAACAATTTTGTGCTCAAAAATTATCTAACTCAAATGATGAAAATGGTGATATTAATAATCCTTGTTTGTATATCTATGGAGCACCTGGTACAGGTTAGTAAAATTAATCAAGTCATTTAATAGATAAGGATAATCATATATTGTTTTTTTTTCCTTAGGTAAAACAGCCGTCGTAACCAGTATAACAAATATGCTTGCAGTAAATAATTTTCTCTTTTTGTTTTTAGATTATTTATTGTTTATTATATTTTTTGAATTAGGAAGAAAATCGTTTTAAAGTTATCTTTCTTAATTGCATGTCAACAGATCTAGTTCGCGATGTTCTTGAACATATTCTTGAACAATTAAATTGTAAAACAAAATTAACAATAAAAAATATGTGGTCACTTTCAATATCATATGTTAATAAATTTCATTTGCCAATTTTACTTATTCTTGATGAAATTGATGGATTACTTTCATCAAATGATATTTTTAATTTGATAAATAAAAATCTCACAAATCATAACAGACGTACTGTGAGTATCCAGACAGACATCGGGTAGAATATATACTCTGACCTATGGATTAGCTAATGACATAAAAGTTTTTATTCCTGCTGTTAACGTTAATAAGAAAACCTTGTCGAAAAAAGTCGTTGATAAGGATTAGAAGTCTTGTTTTATTATTAATAAAAACAAAACAATAAAGGAGAAAAGATTTCTGGGAAAATTTATATATAATCTGGAATTGCGTCTTTCACTCTATCGATTCGTAGAAGAAAAAAAAAACCTTTCACTTTTATCTGTTTGAAATTCGAAAACAGCCATTCTTCTTTAATATCGAATGCCTTTACGAAAACATGTATTAATGAGCTTGTACAAATTTCTACAACTCCAACAAATTAGACGAAACTTCTACAGAATGTTTCTCCATCGATAACACTGATACAACGTTAGCGAGAGCATTCCAAATCTCGACTAAGAGTTTTCTAGATAAAACTCATTTATCTTGATATAGAAACATTTTTATTAAAGATTAACTTCATATTTACAATCAATATCGAATGATATATTGCTTATTAGTTTTATTATAAAAAAATTTTTCATGTATTACTTTCAATTCTTTTCTGCTGCAGTAAGCACGAGAAAATTGTTTCCAACAACAATATAAGGAAATAAAAATTATAATCAAATTTGCAAAGCTAGAGACTCCAGAAAACCAAAATCTAGTTTTCCAGTATCTAGAACGTATAAATATAATTTGGGTTTAGACTATATAGAACGATAGAGTAAACAATTCTCTACAAAATAAGATGTCTCCAATGTCTTGTAGCTGAAATACGGCAACCTTGCAAATGCACTTAAAATCGTTTTTTACTCAATTTCCTACAGAAAAATAACTTTTTGACCTTTAATCAAAAATGATTTTCCTATGTTTAACAAAAGCAGCTACATTGTGTTTAACATATTAATCCTGTAGTAATCGTGCTAATAGCTTAGTTCTGTTTTAAATCTTATTATAGGAATTGCAAATTCACTTGACTTTACTGATCGACTTTTACCACGGTTACAACTAAAGCCTGAAAATAAACCTTATTTACTTCGTTTTTTACCTTATAATCGTGAACAAATGTTATCAATTGTTAATGATCGGTAAAAAAAATAATGAAAAAAAAATTGAATAAAATCTTTTTTTTAGTCTTGGTTCAATTGAATTATTCGATCGTAATGCTTTAATGCTATGTGCAAGTAAAATTGCTTCAACAACAGGTGATTTACGTACTGTTTTTGATGTTTGTCGGTAAGAAATATTGAAATTATTAAGATTAACATTTTTCTGTTTTTTTTTTTTTTTTTGTAAATAGTCAATCAATGGAATTAGCTACAAATTCACCAACAAAAGTAAATGTTGGTGTAACACAAATGATAGAAGTCTTTAATAATAATATTCAAAATACAAATTCATCAGATCATATACAAACAAAAAGTTTACCAACATTTGAAAAACTTCTTCTTTGTTCATTAATTGTTTGTATGAGAGCAAATAAAAAACGTGTTTGTACAAGAGCTAAAGTAAGTTTTATTTTTATAAATTAAAATTTTTGTTTTATTAATAATCTTTCATAATATAGTTCTTATTATCCAATCGATTTTTTTTTCTATTTCATTTTGAATTATACAAAGGTTAATTATAAGAATTATTTTTATGGATTTGATTCTATTGAAATCTGACTTCGTCTAGATTGGATTTTTCAAAAAAAAAAAACAAGAAATAGAATCTCATATTGAATGTTTTCGTTTTTTTTTTTGTAATAATTGATATTAATCAAAATTTTGGGATAAAAGAAATATTTCATCATAGGAATTAAATTCCTATCATTTGATAGAATTGTGATAATTAATTATTAATACAAATAGGTCTTTTAACTTTTTCTTTTCTTTTATTTTCTGACTAAACTTTCATTTAGATATTTATTTTATTATATATAATTATTTCATAGTCTTTCAAATTCTAATGCATCTTTCTTTTATTTTTATACTTTAATCCGTTGAAATTTGATCATATTTATAAATAATTAATTATATTCATTGTTATTCGAATTCTACTAGATGAAAAAATTTTTCTTTAATAAATAAATCTTTTTCTATTAGATATATATCGAAGATTTTCAAGAATATTTTTGAAATTTATATTAAGAAAAAGAATTGTCAATAAATTAATTTTTATCTTAAAAAAAGAAATCTTAAAATATTTTATGTTTATTTTCTAGTTACTTATGGTATTTCATGATTTATGTGCTAAACATAAACTTCCATCAACAGATGGACTTGAATTTGAAGGTTTAATTGATGCATTAGAAACTAATGGACTTGTCAAAATTGTTCGATCGAAAAGCAAAATCAAACAAGATGATCAAGTAATTTATTGATATATTAAAGAAAATTGAATATTTCAAAATACTTCGTTTTTAGATTCATGGTAAAGTCGAAGAAAGTATTTTGATTGATGCACTTCAAGATCAAACTTTACTTGGCATGGTTTTGCATAATTAAATGTAGATTTATCTGGTCAAATATATATATATATATATATATGTGTATTCATTCTTGTTTGTTTTAAATTCTCTATTTTTTTTCCTAAAAAAAAAAGGAACAAAACATGTTGTGAACATTTGTATATGTATTTTTTTTTTGTATAAATTTTGTGAAAGAAAAAAGCCTATTTTCTATGTTAGTTAAATATAATTAGTGTTTTCATTTTTTTTTTCAAATGAATATATATATATATTATGGAAAAAAAACTCAACACCTGACCCCAACACTTGATCACGTCAATGGTTAAAGGAAATGAAAGAAAATAATGTCTTCTAACGGAAAATGACAGTAGCAGCTAGCGTATATAGGATGTTCACTCGTGCAAAGATAATCAGTTTTACAAGAATGTTGAAGAAACTGTAAGAAAATTGATAATGAGTGGGAGAAAAAAAAGAAGAAAAAGAGAAAAAAAGGTAAGTGTAATATAATGTTAAAAAAAGAAGTTAGAGATGAAAGAAAAAATGGTGGGAACAACAAAAAGAAGATTACTGCTAGTAGATTTAGATAATGAAGAGTAGAAAAGAGAAAAGAAGAACAAGAAAATAAACAAAATGCATGTGTGTATGCTTTTTTATCGTTATACGTAAAATAGCAAACCAACATAAAGAAATTTTTTTTGGCAAATATGATTGATTAAGAAAAATATGTTCTCAGAACGTTGGCTATGCTTTTGTTGTCCACCAATGCATAAATCTCCTCGACGAACTATTGTTGCACCAATTGAACAAAATCCAATTCAACCTGAATCACGATTACAATTACAAACAAGTCGACTATCGAATAGACAAAAACAGAAATCTGAACTTCGTATATATATATATATTATTATTATATTTTAGAAAAAAAATTGTTTTTTTTTTTTCTATGATTATATGAATAGATTTAGCTGCTGTTGTTATTATTCAAACATGGTTTAGACGACGACGAGCTTTATTTGAAATACGACGAAAAACTGCTTGGACAATTTATCAAAATATTGAATATGCTGGTGAACAAAATCAACTTAAAGTATTATTATTATTTTTTTTTTGTTTGTTTTAATTAAATTATGATGTTCGTTCTTTTGTTTTTATTATTCAAAAATAGTTGTATAATTTTTTTCTTGAACTTATGCAAACTGTTTCAAAAAATCCTCGAGATGCTACTGTTGCAGCAAAAGTCTTACGTCGAAGTTCTAGTCTATCAGGTTTAGGTAATTATATAATTCTTTCGTAAAATAAATACATAAAAATTTCTTTCTAGCTGAAGAATTAGAATTAAAACAATTAACATCACCAACAATAATTAATGTTGAATCATCATATCAAGGACCACATATTGATAAACCTATTAATAGAGAACATTTTGAAGCATTGATTCTTGCTTTTCAACGTGGCGAGGTACGTAAATTGAATTATAATTAATTTAGATAGTTTTATAAAGATTAATCTGACATAGTTGAATTTATAGTCATAATTGTTTTTATATTTTTCTCAAGATTCAAATTGTTCTTTTCTTTTATTTATTAAAGAAAAGTAGATTTTAGAATCATCTTAACTTTGATGATAGGATTATTAAAAAAAGAAAAGTAATTATCGGCTTTGTTTTATAACTTTATATAAAATTTTGACTTTACTTTTATTTTGTATTACAATATAATATTAAGATGAAAAATAATTTCCTTTATAATTCTATTAGAATTAGTTTATTGATTATTGAACGATGAAATTAGGTTTTTTGTTTTTTTTTTTTTTTGATTATGAAAATTTCAACAACAAAGAAAAATCATTGAATTTGTATAACATGAGATTAGTATGACGTAAACTACTTATACTAAGTTGAAGCAGAATAAGCTTACATTTTTTGGTTTCTTCTTTTTTTTTTTTGTATACAGTAAATAATTAATTATATCATTTTTTTCTCATGCACAGCTCCTTCATGCTCATTATGTATTATTAATATTACATGAACTTCGTCATATTCTTAAAAATTTACCAAATATAAATATAGTTTCAACTCATCAGACAACATGTGTCACTGTTGTTGGAGATTTACATGGTAGTTTAGCTGATTTAATGATTATATTTCATAAGGTATATATTAATTCATTTATTCTTTTGTTATTACTTTTTTGTTTTGTTTTGTTTTTTTATTAAATAGAATGGTTTACCATCGAATGAAAATCCTTATATATTTAATGGTGATATTGTTGATCGAGGTTTTCAAAGTATTGAAGTTTTTCTTTTAATAAGTGTTGCATTAATTGTTTATCCAAATAATATTTATTTAAATCGAGGAAATCATGAAGATCATGTATTAAATTTAAGGTAAATTTAAATTTTCTATTTTTATTATTGATTATTTTATTTATTAAGAATTGTACATTGTTTCAGATTGTGATATGATTATCTATTCTAATTCAACTAGTACAGATTTAGAGAAATAAAATATTTGTAAAATTATACTCGCTTAAATATATATACATAATAACATCTTTATCATATATCATGATGCTCGAGACTTTTTTTTCCTTTTAATGACTGTCTAAAAAAGATTTCAATTCTTCTCTTCCTGTTCGGAAACAAAATTTTCCATCGAATGATCCTATGAAACTCCTGTTTTTTTCCCCCCTCATAGAGAAAAAGAATATAGTCGAACGTAGTATTTAATTCCATTTTATAATCAACATCGAATTTATTTCCCAAAAATGAAAACCAGATTAACCCTTTGGAGACGGATTTTTTTTCTGTACATTTCATCATAAATCAATCAACATTTCTATTTTCTAAAAGAGCCTATTATCCATCACTGGATATCTGAATAAAATAACCTAATTACAATCTAAATTATACCAAAAAACTCTCTGATAAATGCTTTCATAAAAACTAATCTCATATAGGAATCTGTGTGTTTTGAAATGCTAGAGAATCACCATGGCCCCTGAAGGGGCCAACCGTCCCCAAAGGGTTAATAAATGAAAATAAATCTCGTCCCTGCGATGGAAGATCTCGTGTCATCTATTATGTCTCATTTATTTTTAGAATTTTAAAAGCCTAGAAATAGTATTGACCTCAGCTTTTTAAAGATTGTTCAGCTCATATTTTGATATAAATATACTAATTAAACTTTCAATAGAAATTAAATAATTAAGAATAATGTTCTATTGTAAGAAAGAGTTTACTTCATTTAACATTAGACAGAATTTAACGCTACACAAGGTAATACTTGAACTTCTCCTTTTTCTTTTGTTTTAAATTCATTGAATTTATCTTTTAATAATGTATAATATATTGCAACACCCGTTATTCTAATGAACATCAAAATAAACACACAAAGATGTATAATGGAGTCTCGAAAAAAAAAGCTCAATCAGTCCTAGCAATTGCTGAACTTGTGAATCTTTTTTCCGTTTATGCGTTTTCAATAAGATCAGAAGACACATCACTCTATACTGAGAATTGACGTGTGACCATGACCAAAGTCCAGTCACGATTAGTTACAATAAACTTTTCATGTAACTATATAAGTGTAATCAATAGCAAGAACTTAGTCTATTGACAGTTTCAGATGAAATGATCTATCAACGTGAATAATGCATTTATGATGCTTTTGCATAATACTCATATGTATAGTCGCTCTACTGTTAAAACTTTACTGTTCACATAATCAATTAGAAAAGTTACTTGTGTTTTTTTCTTTTCTTGAAAGTATTTGAAATGATTGTTAACAAGACTATATTTATTTTTGTTTTTTTTTGTCTTTAACAGATATGGTTTTATGAAAGAAATCATACATAAATATAAATCTCATGCAACAAGACTTTTACATTTATTTGAAAATATTTATAGTTGGTTACCAGTTGCAAGTCTTATTGATGATCATATTTTTGTAACACATGGTGGTATTAGTAATATAACTGATTTAACTATTATTAATCAAATAAAACGTCAGAAGGTTCTCTTTCGTTTTTTTTTAGATTTTGAAAAAATAAAAGCAAAAGTTTTTTTTTTTTTTTTTTTATTTTCTATTCAGTATGTATCTGTATTAAGTCCAAGTTTTATTATACCACCAAATGAAGATGAATTTCAAATAGGTAATATTCCAAATGATTTATTGCTTGAATGGCGACAAATACTTGATTTATTATGGAGTGATCCGAAACAGAGTGATGGTTGTGAACCAAATACTTATCGTGGTGGTGGGTGTTATTGGGGTCCTGATGTAACAAATGATATTTTAGAAAAACATAAATGGAGCTTACTTATTCGTTCACATGAATGTAAAGAAGAAGGTTTTGATTATACTCATGATAAAAAGGTTTTAGTTAATTTTATTACTATTATTATCATTTTTTTTTAATATTCATATCAATTAGGTGCTTACTGTTTTTTCAGCATCAAATTATTATGCCGTAGGTAGTAATCGAGGTGCATATGTAAAAGTAATTACTAATCAACCACCATTAATTGTTCAATTTGTTTCAACAAAATCTTCACATAAATCTTTGACCTTATGGGAAAGGTTAGTTATAAAATTCAGATAGTTTATAATTGTTTTTTTTTTATGAAACGCAATCTAAAATAGGTGATAACATATATAACGACATTTATAGAAAATCCTATTAATTCCCGAAAGCTATAGGGTATATCCATACTGTATGGATGTGTCAATGCTTGGTTGAACATTGATCCAGTGTAGTCAATGTGTCAGTAGACTCACTATGAGTATTATCATTGAAACTACACATTCCTAATCTGAAAGGAATGGTTGGAGTATATAGGATAGGAATTTGTACCTATCCACCCCATAAACCATGACAGACGCTGTTGATATAAGATCACGTCTCGTTACTATTTTCTTATTGCATTGTTCGAGGACTAAGTAAAAGAATGGTGAAAAAAATGTATCCTAAAATAATAAAAAAATCTCCTTGTGATTAGTAATATCGTGTTTCACATTTTAATCTCGTAAGGACTGTGCTAATAGGTTTTTTTCTCTTGTTTTTAGGGTATCTCATGTTGAAGAACAAGCAATTCAAAATCTTCTTGAAAAATTTAGTGTAAATCAAAATCGATTGATAAGAGAATTTGCAGTTGTTGATCGAAAAAAAACAGGTAGATAAAACAAAGATTTTTTTTTGTTGTCGTTTTAAGTGATATTATTTATTTCATTTTAATTTTTATAAGGAAATTAAGATGAATATTGCACAAAAGTAGTAGACTGTAAACTGAAACTTACATGAATAATTTAACTAAAAAAATTATTAATATACTTTGAAAGAATATTATTTCGTTTGAAAATAATATGATAAATATAACAGTAAATGCTTGAACTGGATATTAAACGAAGGAATTTCTTATATTAAATTCTTCTTACCATTTATTGATATGAATTTTCTGTATTGAATTAGTAGGAAGAAAGTCAGTGGATGATATTTATTTTGTATGTTTGAATTCATATTTAAAAAAAAACTTATAAAATACCGAGTTTTCTTTAATCTGCAGTGTTCAGATTTTCAAAGAAGTGAATTTCGTTCATGAAAAATCAAATTTCAGCAACATTATAGTCGACAAGAAAATTCAGAAGTTACAATGATTTTCGCTAAAGCAATCGAAATTATCTGCTTCAAAATATTCAATTTTCCAGAAAATTTTCTAAAAAGTATTAAAACAGTAGAAGTAAATTTCTAGGAAAATTCCGAAGCTTTTGATGTACCATTAGAAAAAAAAACAAAAGTAAACTTCTGTAATGACTATGAAACTCCTATCAAACTTCAGTAGATATGAACTTTTTTCGCTATGTTGAAAATTTTCGTTTTTGGAAATCTGAACATATCTCTTATATCTGTGCGTAGAACTAGCATAAATATTGAATTGTTTATTATATAAACTAATAGTTCTGTAAGCCAAAAAAAAAGATCCTGTTCAATTCTTTCTTATTTATTTCTACATAGAACTTTTGAATATTGATTTTATAGAACAAAATTCTTTAGTTCAAAACAAATGAGAATAATTTTTCTATTGAAAATTAAGCACTATAATATTTTAAATTATATCCTGATGTTTTAATTTTCATATATGATTTAGGTCGTATATCTATCAATGAGTGGTGTGATATTGTTTCACGTGTTCTTAATTTACATTTACCATGGCGAACACTTAAATCACGACTTGTTCAAACAGATTCTGACGGATCAATTATATATGAATCAACATTTCGTTTCAAACAATTACAAGTTACATTGAGTGTTCCAACAAGTGAAGTAAGAATTTCAAAAAGAAAAAAAACAAAACCTTCTTTTTTAATGTATTTAATTTTATTAGAGACGGACAAGTCTTTGTCAAGCTATTTATCGCAATAAAGATTTACTTGAAACAGTCTTTCGAGCTATTGATAAAGATAACTCAGGTTAACTTTAGTTTTTTTTTCTTTTTTTACTAGAATTTCTTTCTTACATTATATATATATATATAGGTGTTATTTCAATGAAAGAATTTACTGACGTATGTGTATCTCTGGGTCATCATAATGGAACGAAATTTGATGGAAAACAAATCATGGATTTAGCAGCTAGTATTGATCTCGATAAGAACGGTGTGATTGATTTCAATGAATTTCTTGAAGCCTTTCGTATTGTTGATATTACTGATCATTTTGATGATGAAAGTTAATATTTCCCCATATGTTTGTTTTTTCTTTTTTTTTTTTGTTTTATGTCAAAATAAAGAAAAATACAGAATGGTTCGATTTCTAGAACAAACTGTCTGACAATTTGTTCCATTTCATATTAAATATACAAAAAAAAAGAAAAAATATTATTTCTTTTATCGAAAATAAAATGTCTAACTTGATATTTATTATTAATATTATAATTTTTTTAAATATTTGTATTGAACAATATCAAATGGCTGTAGGAGAAAAAAAACGAATATTAACAAGTCGTTCTGAAGGTGCTCTATTAGGTCATTATTTATTTTTAGCTGAAACAACATATATATCAAATACACCAGGTTTTTTAATAATAAAAACAATAAATGAACATGAATGTAAATGTATTTGTTCAACAAATAAACAATGTCTTTCAATAACTTATCATTTATCAGATTTAATTTGTACATTATATGCAAATGATCCATGTGATACACGAAATTGGCAAACAAATTCTGATATAAATTTTTATATAAATATTAAACGTTTAAAATATCGTTTATTTGAAAAACCAGAACAAAATCAACCATTAAAACGTTTATCAAATTCATTATTATGTGGAAATATGAATATTTTTAATTCTGAACGACGATGGTTATTTGTTGTTAAAATTAGTGGACAATCAAAAATTAATTTTAATGGTTTAAATTTTAATAATGCACCAAATCAAGTTGCACCTAGTCCATGGTATACCACATCATATGAAACTATTTGGAATAGTATTATTATGCATCAATGGTAATGTCAAATATTTTAAATTGAATTTATTGATTTAACAAAATAAAACATTTCATATAAGGAAATTTCAAAAGTAGAAAGCCTTACATCTCTAACATTATTACACTCCTGTTGATGATAAGTATCTATGTATAACAGAGATGGTCAAGTGAAGTCTGTTTTTGAGTGAACATGAGTAGTTTTCTTTTTTGTTTTTTAGAAATGACTTGATTGTTTATATCAAGTCAAGTGACAAGAAAAATATATGATACATGTCAACTGTGTGTAAAAAGTCTTCATTCTAGATACCGAAATTCGAAAGAAATGATTTTTTTTGAAAAATTAAAAAATGAAATTTTCTACAAAAATCAAGACTATTCTAAAATCTCATTTAGAGAAGTTATGAATAATAGAAGAAAGCCTATATTTCTTAGAGCACAAATAACAGTTTTGATTTAGTTAAATATTTGCTTACGGCTAATCAATCGTGAATCAGTAACAAATTCGAAGTATATATTTAGAAAGAGCATGATATTCTAATCCTAAATGACGTCATTTGAGCTTCTTCAATGATATCTCGATGTCCGAAAAATGAGTAAACATATTTACTAAAACCTTTTAAAGTAACGTTTTGGGGTGGGTGTGAGAGAAGAGAAAACTTACGTCCATAATCCACCGTAGTTGATTATTTTTGATTCTCATCGATGACTTTTAACTAGGCAATAACTGGTTGCACATAATATGCAAAGACTTTCTAAACGTAGATTAGATGTCTTATGCATTTCATTTTGTATTTCTAATTTGAAGTCTAGTAGAAAAATAGAAACTAACAACAGCAAATATTGATGTTGCTTTCTAGATATTCGTGTCTTTTTGAATTGTTCGAGTATGACAAATGTATTTTTTTTTTGTTCTTGTGACTATTAAAAGGTAGAGAACCATAAATCTTCTTAAGAATGAATTTAATGATCATTAGATTATACTACACTCTCGAATGTTGTAATCTTAAGAAGTTTGCAGATGATAAATCTCAAAATTTCTTGAAATTTTCTCACGAAATACAAGTATGTTGTCGTGTACATTCGGTTTCATATGAAAATCATGAAGATAAACAAATTGTTGAAAAGTCTAATATAATCTGGTAATCATTTAATTCAATCTTAAAAAAGATTTACAGTCTCCTATTTATTAATAACTAGAGTTAATTATTTGTTTAGGAATGCTCATCTCTATTTTCCAAAATATTTCGGTTTTGCTCTTATATATAATGGTACCGTACGTGAATTTATTTATTTTCGTTTACATAAAACAACAATTGAAAATTTCTTTAATAAACAACATACACCAGTTACATTTTGTTGGAATTTAAAATCTAATAAAGCTCATCTTCATCATATACTTGATCATAATAATTATTTTAAACGAATATTTTCAATAAGTATCAATGGAAATATATCAAATACATTACCTTGTGATAAACATGAAACATTTATGTATATTTCACCATATGATAGAACTGATAGATGTTCAACAGATGAAAATTCTTTAAATTCTATTCGAATAATGTTTTCCGATGAATGTCATCCATCACCTTATTCAAAATTACTTCATGCTGATGCTTTAATTGGTTTAATATCTGGTGATACAACAATGGATACTTAAAGTTGAATTTTATTTAACAGACACACACACGTACACATACAGGGCAAGTGTTTATATGAAAAACCGTACATAATAAATCATGAAATTATTATTATTTTTTTTTTTTTGTGTTTCTTTTTCATTTATCTACATACATATAAAGAAGAAGAAAAAAAACATAACGATTATATGCATTGCAGCGATCATAGTCAAAAAAAAAAAGAATCGAAATCAACAAATAAAGAAAAGAACAACAAAAAAAAAAATCATTCACAAGAATTACAGAGCGGTTGAATAGAATAAAGATGTAGGAGATAAACAAATTAATACTGAGTTCAAAAAAATTCGATCTGCTTTTATTATTTGCGTTTTTGCTTTTTTTACATAACTTTACATTTACGAAATTTTTTCTTTTTTTTTTTCTTTTCAATTATAATATTACTAGCAAGCGGTGGTTCATTAGCAGCTGGTAAATCATATGAATGTTTTCTAGAATGATGTTTTTCATTTACTACCTTTGGTACTATGACTTCAGTTCGTTTTATTCGACGAACCAGATCGAAAAAGATCTAAACAAAATATTCTCTATTTTTCTTTTTTGTTGACTAGATACAAATAAACATAAAGAAAGAAAAGGTAAAGACGAAAAAAAAAACATAGGAGGAAATAAACCAACACCATATTCCCTTAAAAGCATATCTCTGTGCTCAATAGATAGATAGGCGTATGTTATATATATATATAAAGAAGCCCGAAAAGGAGAACAAAAAAAAAAGAAAACCCATTGTGTGTAACGCATGCATATGATTGCTATAAGAAAATGAAATATGAAAACAAACAAACAAACAAACAAACAAATATATCTATAAAAGTACACAACAATTTTGTTTATCTCGTTGATTGTTAGCTGTTTGATCTGTTTGTAAACTATCAAAACCAGTTTTACCACTTGATGATGGTATATGTGTATTTGCCATTTGACCAGTATTTTTACCTTTTTTTTTATCTTTATTAACTGGTGTTCGTTTATTTATTTGACGTACAAGATCAAAAAAAATCTAAATATTATTTAGGATTTGATGTTTTTTTTTTCTTTTCATTTTAATTGAAATATGTGCATAGAAATATGATTTTTACATGGATTAGAAAATAATAAAATACAAAACTAACCTCATTAACATTAATTTTTTGTTTAGCTGATGTTTCAAGAAATGTTGAACCCCAATTACGTGCTAATGTTTGACCAACTTCTTTTCCAACAACACGTTCATCTTCAAGATCACATTTATTTCCTACAAGAACCATTGGTACCTAAAAATTGAACAAAAAGAAAATAGAAGATAATCAAAAAAAAACTAATAGAATAAATATTCTTACATCAGTTGTATCTTTTACTTTAAGAATAGTATCACGTAAATCAACAAGATCATTATATGTTGATTGAGCTGTTATTGAATAAACAAGAACAAAACCTTGACCATTTTTCATATATAAATCACGCATAGCTGTAAATTGTTCCTATAAAATAATTATTTTAATTGGTTTTTTGCAATACATTATATTGAAACGTGTGAATTTCAACTTTGATATGTTTCGATTGAATGCTTCACACAAGGAAACTTTTTCAAGTGTCAAATCATTTTGAGCCAAAAAAAACCTATTAAAACTTCGATATCTCAAGAACAAAGCTCCGGGTAACCAAACCATTTTAGACTTTTCTATTACTCATTAAATGAATATCATCTCAATCGAAAAACGATTCGATACTTGGAGAGATTCTCTCATCAGTACTTTATTTTCTCACATACAATTGTGTAGAGTTTTTGACAGGCTACAATCTCCTATATGTAGCATCTTCGGCCATCTTGTCAATGAGGGTATGGGTGAGTGTATAGCCGTCTATCAGTAAATTGACTATAGATCCTTCAAAGTCCTATGTAAACAATATTTACTATATACCATCCGATGCGCCTCAAAATATTCTACAACATGGTATATTTGGTTTCTCTTTGTAGAGATATACAATTGTCAAGTAAACTCGATTTTTACGACTAGTGACTATTTGTTGCAAATTCAGTAATACAATCATAACTTGACCATAGGCAAGAACCTTTTTAAGACATTTCTAATCTTAATGAGACCTCCTTATTGATCCAAGATAAGGTCAAATAGTGGATTACAGTTCGGATAGTTTCTTCGTGAGTAGAATCAGTTCAAATGCATTCATATGTAGATCAAATTATTTTATATTATTAATATAATTTGATAAACTACTTACTGTGCCAGCAGTATCCAAAATTTCCCTAAAAGATAATAAGAAAAAAAAAAAAAACAAACAAACACAATGAAAAACTATTACAAATTAAATGAACTTACAGCATACATTGTTGTCCATCAACTTCAACCTGTTTTCGATAACTATCTTCGATCTAAAAGAGAAACAAAAATAAATATTTCGATTATTATTTTCAAAATAATATAAACTAACCGTAGGATCATATTTTTCAACAAATAATCCTTGAACAAACTGTACAGTCAGTGCTGATTTACCAACACCACCACTACCAAGTACAACAATTTTGTATTCACGCATTTGTTTTCTTTTTTTTTTCAAAATATCAAATGAAATGAAGTAAAAATCTGAAAAGGAAACATAAACGTTTTTTTTTTTTTGTTTTTTCTTTTCTTTCGCTATTAGTTGAAAGATTAAAAAAACAGCAGTAGCAACAACAATACACACAGAAAAAAAAAACAAATAGAAAATAGAAAATACTAATTTCAATTGCGCATTCAAATTAATTTTAAAATAAAAAACAAAAATTTTATGATCGAAAATTCCATAATTTAACACTGCCATCAAATGAGCCCGATACAATAAGATAATCATTAAAGGAAAGACATGTAACACCATCTGTATGATTTTTTAATGTACATAATCGAACACCTGTTCGTATATCCCACACCTATAATTTCACAAAAAACAAAAAAAATAAATAAATTATATACTTACAGGAAACCTTCAATCTAACTGCACTATCTATGCTAACCAAGAGCTCGAAGACGTCTCATTTTTTTTGTAGATAATTATTTTCTCTACCATTCTATGTAGTCTATATTTACCCGCTGTAGATGCTGAAAAAATTAGAGTTTAGATTTTCTGAACTTTCTATCTTTAACGCTTACATGACAACAGAAAAAAAAAATCTTTTCTTTAAACTCAAGACAAATTCTATTCTCTTGTTTACATGATTCTATGTTATTATAAATCATAGTAGAGTAAGCTCATGTAATTTTTATAATACATCACACTATGTCTCTCTCATTTGTTAATCAATCTTACTGAGAGTAATAAATAAAATCATTTTTTATAGACGTTACTGACTCAAACAATTGTTTCTAAATGTTATTGAGAAGAAGCTAACACACACACAAAAAATTTTCTATTTGCATCAATTATTTTACTATGTCTATTTCGCATGCAAATAAATACTCAAAGAGAATGAGCTTTTTTTTTTTTTCTTCTTCTTTTTGTATTTTGTCTAACCGAGAGAAGTCTTCCAACTGTTCAATCACTATATGCATTATGTAGTGACACAAATGAGCTATGAATACCCTGAAAAGAGTTCGTTCTCTTCAGCTTATTGCTGCGTAAATACGGCATTTTTATGGGTGTTCTTCTTTTTTTTCTTAAATGAAATGCATAGTCGAATTTCAATTTAGAACTTTATATAGAATAGTCTATTGTGAAAGTTTCAAGATGTTGTTTTTGATTTATTTCTATACTGAAATAAGAATATATCGATATCAAAAGGCTTATCATAAAGATAAGAAGAAAAATATTGTTTTTCTTTTTTCTTACTTTAATTGTCTTATCATCAGCTCCACTAACAACACGCCAACTATCAGCTTTTAATGTTCGAATAACACCACGATGGCCTTCTTTTGATATCCAATCAATTTTCTGACAACATTCACCTGTAGATAAATGCCAAAAACGTATATCATAATCAAGACTACCCGATACAATTAAATCTTGTTGTTGATCAAAATATAAACATGTTACTGAACCATTATGAGCTGAAAGTGTACGTAAACAAATACCATCAACATAACGCCAAATCTAAATTTCAAAACAAAAAAATCAATATACTATTTCATATTGTGTATATATATACTTTAATTGTTTTATCCGTTGATCCAGAAACAATATAATCCCAATTAAATTGCACACAAAGTACTTTATCAGTATGATCACTATATATCAAAAATACAAAATATAAAAATAAAAAGAGAATTTTTCTTAACATACACTAATGTACGTAAACATAAACCATTAGTTAAATTCCATACTTTAACAGAATTATCATGACTACCACTTACACAAATATCATCACAAACCTAAAAATTAGAATTTGTAATATTATTATAATTTTAATAAAAAAAATATTTACAACAAGACATCGAACAGTATCTGTATGACCAAGTAAAGTTAATTTACATGCACATTTTGACCATGTTTGATTAATAGATATACTCCAAACCTTAAGAATTCATTTAAAAATTGTTTGTTTTTTTTTGCTATCAAATCTAATTTACTTTAATACTATGATCATTCGAACCACTAACTAATCGAACTTCATTTGTACCATCAACATGTAAACATCTGACACTACGTGAGTGACCAACTAATGTAATAATCTCATTTGTAGTATTCATATCCCATCTTCAAAATAACAACAAAAAAAAGATTTCTTTATGTAACCTTCTTTATAATGAAACTTACACTTTAATTGTACCATCAGTACAACCACTTATAATTGTTTGACTATCAAATTGAACACAAGAAACACCTTGAAATAAACTTATCGTTCTTATGTTTATCTTAGTTCAATGAAATTTATTTTACCTTCAACATGACCATGAAATGTTTTAACATCACATCGTCCATTTAACCAACGTGATCGAAGACGATATCGTTCAATAAATATTTGTTTCCACTTAATTAAACAAAAACATATTTTCATAAAGTATTGAGTTTTTTTTTGTTTTTTTGTTTTATACTTGTGGTTTTCCTTGTTCATTTGTATATGATTCAATTTGTTGTTGATCAAGAAGAGTTGATGAAAAAGACCATTTTTTTTGTTTAGATAATTTACGCCATAATTCTGGATGTGAAGATAAATAATACCAAAGTTTATTTACAAGTGCACATCGTGCTAATGATACTAGAAGAATAACAATGACAAACTTTTTTTTTTTGCTAATAAATTTGAACAAACTTGGATCGAGTAAAGACAGAATATGAAAAGAAATATCAAATGGTAATTGTGCCAATGGATCTGAACAATCCGATGGACAATTTCGATGCCAATTATCAGCTGTTAAAATTGATAAAAGATGCCATTGAGAACCGGAACATGAATTCTAAAAGCAAAAAAAAAATTTTTTTAATAACGATAGAAAATTTTTCTATTCATACTAATGAATTTATGATATCAAATGTCGAAGAAATCCGATCTACTACTTATTGAAACAATAACGGAAGAGTGAAGATCTTCGTTTTTCTTTCTCTCTTCTAACAATAAGTTATAAAATCTTTCGAATTGTATTATAAATAGTTTAAGTCTCTTAAAATTAAATCTATCTTAATAATATCTATTTATTAACTTACAATTAATTCTCGAAGTAATGCTTCCTTTTGTTGATTATCAAGTTGATTAAACCATTCCACAACTCTCTTTAAGAAAAAAGGAAAAAAAGAATTTTTGTTTTTTGTTCATTTATTCTTTAATTAACTTCTATTTTTTGTTTCTTACCACGAGTTCAGATGAAAATGAGGATTTTTGAAATGTTATTTGTTGTGATGTAGTATTTGATAATGGTACACGATGATCAGATGATACTAGATCAGGATGAAAATGTACATGAATTTTTTTTTCATCATTTGATGATGATGATGATGATGATGATAATGATATTACAGGATAATCATCATCAATACTATGATGACGTTTAAATCGACAATTTGTAATATTAGTATTACTGCTCAATGCATTATCCGACTTGCTTAAAGATGCACGCATTAAGATAAACAAAACTGATAAAAATAGAAGATAAGGAGTTTATAGAACAAAAAGCACAAAGAAATTAATAAATAAACAAATAAACCTATCAGTATTTTACCTATATTTTGTTTTTTAAAAAATTTTCGTATTAATATAAGAAAAAAAACCTATAGATAAATGATTTGTTTTTAATCTTTATTGAATTTTAAATATCTTTAATTAATTTAATTTTTGCTTGTCCATCTAACGACATCTATGATTAAAACTTTTTCCATACATTATATTTTATATACAAAAAAACGAAAAAAATTTGCAAATCAAGTAATGCAACTGATATTCAGTAAGTTTTAAAAATAAAACAAAAAGAAAATTTATTAAAAATTTTAATTAATTAAAATATAGTTTTTCTTTTTTTTGTTAATTTAATCAATATATTGTATGCGCTTGTCTGTCCTATTTATCGATCATATCAAAGAAATTTTATAGAAGAAGATTGTCATAGAAATTGTAAATTTTATGATGTATTAGAAAAACAACATGCATGTATTGGTGTTTATTATAATTATTCAGGAAATATATCTATTAAACAATTAGGTATTATACCTAGTGATGAACAATGTTTAATATCTAAACAATGTATACTTGATATTGATCCATTAAATTCTCAATCATCATCATGTTGTTGTTCAACAGATAATTGTACACTTAATTGGCAAAGTATATCAACAACAACAACAATAACAACGACATATCGTTCAATTTTAATAAACAATACAACAAAAATTAAAAATTTAATTATAATAGATCAAGATTATTTTTCATGGAAATTATTTTTAATAATATTTATTTTAATAATGATTATTATTTTAATTACATTTACATTTGGTTTATGGAAATCATTAAGAAATAAATATAATAATATTAATAATAATAATAAAAATAATAAATCATTATTATCAACTTCAATAGAACAATTATTTTTTTCTCTACAAGAAATTAATATAGGCAAAAATAGTATTGTTTATAAAGGTCTTTTAAATCATGATATTGTTGCTGTTAAAATTTATAAACAAATAAATATATTAATATGGAAAAATGAAGTTACACTATTGAAATCTATTAAACATGAATCAATTATTAAGTACGTAAAACTCTGAGAACAAAAAAAAAAATAAACTTTCTTGTTTAAATTTTTTTTTTCTTCTACAAGACAGACACATATTCTATTGATTAGTATGTTCGCAAAAGAAAAAAAGAATATATAACTTACACTTCGACTTTAAATAAATTAAGGTCGATAAATAAGAACATGTGTCAGTATTCCCTCTATTGACATTCATTCATACCTATTCGAATTACATAACATTCTTCTTTCCTAAGAGAGAAATGATATCTTATCAATTTATATCCTTCGATGTACATTTATTATTAATGAGTTTCTTTTAGGATTCTATCTGAAGGTCAATATAATTCACATTTATATCTTATATTACCCTTTTATGAAAATGGTACACTTCAATCATATTTACTTACACCTAATAGAAAATTATCTATTAATCAATGTTTAATATTTTTTCGTTCACTTGCATCAGCAATATCTTATTTACATATGGGACGAAATAATAATACAAATATGTCGATTGTTCATCGTGATATAAAATCATCAAATATACTCATTGATAAAAATGAATTAAATTTATACTTAACAGATTTTGGTGTTGCTCTTGTTCTTCCTCAAATATTAACTGAAAAAGATTTTGTACAAATTGGTACTATACGTTATATGGCACCTGAATTACTTGAAGGTGTTATTACACATACACATGAAGCTTTATGTAGTGTAGATATATATGCATTAGCATTAGTCATGTGGGAAATTATAACACAATGTGATGTTTATCCAACGACAGGTAAAATTCCGACTATAAGAAAAATCAATCAAAGCTGTTTTTTTTTTTATTATTATTTCTGTATGTAGTTTATCGTCCACCATATGAAGAATATAGAACAAATAATTCTGATGGATCTTCTTTTGCAACTGAAATATATGATATTGTTGTTGTTCGTCGATTACGACCTACTCTTATTCGACAAATAAAAGATAATCAACATGCTCTAGTTAGTGTTGTGTTTTGTTTTTGTATAATACTTGCTTTTTTGCTTTGTATAGATTATTCGTGAATTATGTTCATTAATTGATGCATGTTGGATAACAGATTCTGATATACGTATGAATGCACAAACACTTGCTTTCAAACTTAATCAATTGATGTAATATTAACATACAATGAGATTGTTGAAATTATGTATTTTTTGTTTTTTTTTCTAAACTTTATGAACTTGCTGCCATTAGATTGATTCTAGTCAGATTATAGATATGATATATTTTGTTCATTGATATTTTTTGAAATATTCATTTCTTGTTCAGATATTTTTGTTTTCTGTTTATTTGTTATTGTTTAAACAACGATAATGTTTAGTGAAAAATTTGTTGTTACTTATTAACAAAAATTATATGTTATAAGAACTTTTTTTTTTTCATAATAAACAATTGATCGTTTAACTGTTTATGAATGACCAATATGATAGATATATTCATATAAATCTATGAGTCTTTCTTTTATCCTTTTACATGTCGATTGAATGAGAAAGAATAAAGGATGAAAAATATTTTTTGATTTACAATTTTATTTCGATAAATTTGATCATCGTCAAAATTAAGACTAATGGAAAGAAATTACATTCAGAACGAGCTAAAATATGACTTAACTTAAATTTATATTATATTTTTTTGTCATTGGATAATATAAAAAACCAACTAAATATCAAAAGAGTTATGACTACATTGAGTAAGTTGTCTGATCAAATAAAATGTGTTAGGTCATTTTTCTATTTGTAAATTACATTGTATGGATTAATTATCTTTATGAATATAGATAAAATGACATTTCGTATAGTCCAAGTTGACAATTCACGTCTTTCTGAATTTGATCAAATACCAATATCATTTGAAGTTCATTCTATTTATGAAGTTATTGATGATAAAGAACAAATTATACTTATTGAACGACCTCTTCTTACATCATATATAAAAGATTATGATCAACTTAATTCAAATTTATCTCATTCATGGTCTAATATGAATACAACTAATTGGGGAATTTTTCTTGCTCTTGATGAAACTCAAAATGATAAGCCTATAGGTGGAGCTCTTGTAGCTATGCCTGAATGTGCATTATGGGATTTACGTGTTGCACCTTCATGTCGACGTTTAGGAATTGGACGAGCTTTATTAAAACATGCTATTCAATGGAGTAAACAACAAGGAGTAACGACATGTATGAGTATTGAAACACAAAATACAAATGTATCTGCTTGTCGATTCTATGCAGCTATGGGAGCTAGATTGGGTGATATTGATAGAAATGCATATCAAGATGACGAAGCAGTTAAAGATGAAATTCGAATTAATTGGTACATTGATTTAAACTCATAGTTGATTTAGGATATCAAATAAAATAAAATAAAATAAAATAAATTCTCATGAATCAAGTCTTGTCAAAAAGAATTATTCCAATAGATCTATAGATGAATGTGTGCATATGGATAGGTTAATATTATGTTTACACACATGTTTTAAGATTACTTTTAGTAAGAACTCGTTTGAAACTAAAGTCTTCTTGAACTAAACGAAACATTCTATATTATTTTTAAAAAAAAGATATCACAATATGAACTGGATTTTGAATGTAAGAAAATGTTCTTGTTTTCTTTCATATGATGGTTGTCACGTGCTATACTGAATTAGATTTAATCGTGAATGATGAATTTTAGACGTCAAGTAACAATGTTCACGCTAAATATTCTTTTTTTCTTAAAATTTATAAGAAAATAATCCCAAATTTTGATTAAAAAATTCCGTTTTATACCTTTTCGATTGAACTACTTGATAATTGATATATTTTAAATGATAGATTACATAAAGTAATTACTTTAAATACTCAGCGATAAGTTTTCTCATTAATACATACTCGTCTATTTTTTTTTTCTTGTATACAAAAAACTATTTATTTGAAATATCTCAATATCTGAATAAAATTAGTTGATGAGAGAAGAAACCTATAATTAATCTATAAATAAAATTAATCATTTTTTTTTGTTAAAACAGAAAGTATTGTTTTTTTTTCGTATTTCATAACAAAGAATAATTAAAATTAATATTTAACTATTTAATGAAATATATTAGCACAAAAAAAAAATTGAAGACTATGAATTTGTTGATTGAAAATATTCAACAGACTTGAATGTCAATTATACACAATAATTTTAAAATCATTTGACACGAATTACTAGAAAAAATGCAATATTCTTTTTTTTCGTCTGTTATATTGTGCAATATTTATGTAATTATTTATAGAAAAGTAAAATAAAAATCCAATGATGACTACAAATTATTTCCGATGTTATTTTCAGAGAGCTTCTTTGTTTTTTTTCGTGCGTTGAATAATAAAAAGACTCTCAAATATTAATTAAGCTATTTGCACATAGGTTGTATGTAATTATTATAAAAACACTTATATGTAATTTTAAATTAATATATTTTAATAAAATTACTTGTGTAAAAACTAGTTTATCATTCGTAGACAAATAATGTCATCAAATTCTTCTAAAGAGTTATGATTAATTGAGTGTTAACAAGATCTTTTATTCATTGAATGAATTTTTTATTGTTGATGACATTTGTATATGTTGAAAGTTAATATTAATATTTAGAACATAGTTTTTGTCTTTGAAAAGTTAAGTTAAAAATTAGAATATAATCTCCTTTAATAAAATATACATTTCTTATTTGAATATGTTCTCATTCGATGTTAAAATACATATTGAGTATAGTAAATATTGTATCAATGATTAAGTTCTTTAAATTACAACAGTTTAAAACGATTCCACAGAATGAAACAGTAAATATACAATGATTCTGAATAGGAATTAGTGATTTATTTGTGTAAGATGATGAAAAAAAAATAATGTAAATGTGAACTCCTAGTCTAAAATCAAATATTCAAAATTAATTTTCAATATCATCATTGTTATGCTTCTAACTTTTGAAAAGGTGTTTATATGAGATGCCCTATTCTGATAGCACTTAGTTCCACAGGGTCAGATTTAATCTTGATTCGCTAAGTTCAATATATTTATATTTATATACTACTCGAATATTATATGTACAGGATTGTGCATAACCTTTTGCTAGGGGAGTAGTGTTATGATCTCAAGTTGAATACATAATGAATTTTATATCAAATTAAAGCGCGTCGAAAACAGGATTTATTAGTACTAAATAGTAAGAGTTATCAAAACCTTTTAATGTCGAACTGACGAAATTTTATGCTTTTTTTGGCATAAAAAATTCAGGCAACAACAATTCAAATATGGAGTAAAATATTTTCTTTTGATATTTTTACATAACTTGATAGAGCTTATCGTGCTCTACAAAACTGTCTATATTAAAAGTTTTTAAAGCCATTTTTCTGAGATAAAAAATTCAAAAAATGACTTGTAAAATCCTAACAAATGTTTAAAAACTCGAGTTTTTTTTATATGGAGAACAAACACTTGATTTTCTCGATAAAATTAGCTTTTTCTATTATTCTTACTAACAAAAACGCTTCGAAATACACTCATCCGATGGAGCGTGAAAAACTGCGCCCAACGAGTATATTTCGAAGCATCATTGTTAGTAAGAATAATGGAAAAAACAATACATAAAAGTAACATATTCGTTATTCGTATGTGCTCATACAAGTATCTGTGTAAAGAAATAAACAACTTTCATTTATATAGACGTACAAGCAATTGATCTATTTCATTGTCATGCAATCGTAAATCATTTCAAAACCAAACAATACCAAGTCGTTTCATTATTATTCTGGAAGAAAAATGTTCATCTTTCATCTAACTCTTATATATATTTTACTTTTAATTTTCTTTTTCTCTTTTTTAAAAAGATGTTGAAAAAAAAACAAGGAAAAAAAATAAATAGAAAACGAAAAGTGAAAAAATCAACGATCAACACTGGAAATGTTTCAATAAAATTAAAAATGTTTATTATTCAAAGATCATGACGTTTAGTAGTGCCTTGAGTATAAAGTGATTCAACCAAAGGCCAATTGATAATACGCCAAAAGTTATCAACATATTCATTACGACGATTTTCATAAACAGGATAATAAGCTGAACAAAAACCAAACAAGAAATATATCATTATTTATTATAGATTTATTCTTCTATTATTTCTATACTAACCATGTTCCCATAGATCAATACCTAAAAGAACAACATGATCTTTATCGAACATAATTCTAAATAAAGATCATTTATATGATAAATTTAATAATAAACAAAAGAAAAAGTATAATTATTTTATATTTTACTTACGGATTATCTTGATTAACAGTAAAATTAATAGAAAGTTGTTTTGTTTGTGCATCAATAAATAGCCAAATCCAACCAGAACCAAAAAGATTAATCGATGAAGTAGTAAACATATCTTTAAATTTATCAAATGAACCAAAACTATTTTCAATTGCTTCAAATAATGGACCTGTTGGTTTATTTTCAGTAGCTGTAGCTGTTGGTTTACGTAACATAGAAAAGAAAAGTTTATGATTAATATAACCACCACCATTATTTCTTAAAGTTAAACGATATTTTTCTGGTAAATTTTGAAGATGTGTAAGTATAACTTCAATTGGTTGTTTAGCTAAATCTTTTAATTCATTATTAGATGTTTCATCAGTAAACATTGATTTAAGTGCAGCATTAGCTTTTGTTGTATATGCTTGATGATGTTTATCATGATGTAATCTCATTAAATGTTCTGAAAGAATTGGTTCAAGTGCATTATATTCATAAGGTAATGGTGGTAAAATAAGTTCTGTTTGTGATTGAACATAATTAATAATAATAATAACAAGAAAAATAATAGGAATAAACATGATTTATCTACAATATTGAATATAATCAAGATTAAGAAAATTTATTCATTCAACAACAACAACAACAATAATAATAATAATAGTGAAGAATAATTGCACACAACATACACAAATTAGATAAACATGAGAAAAAGACAAAAGAAAAAAAAAGAGAAAAAGAAAAATTTATCAGACTGAACAAAAGAAAAATTTCATTTCCAGTAATAAACTGTTCATTAATTAACTAAGATTTTTCACTTAAAATTTTTCTTCGTTCAATAAAATTATTTAAATTAGTTGTTGATATTTGATATTGACCAGCATGATGAAACCATTCATTCATTAAACATTCACTTGCTGATGGACGATTACTTAAAAAAAAAAAAGAAATTTTATTTAATTAAAACAAAATTGTTAGCACAATATCTATGAGATTTAAATATGAAACATGATGTAGCTAATCACAGGAAGATTGTTTTATTTCCTGTACTTTATTATCCAGAAATGTAATAAGGAAGTAATTCATATATTATAACGAGAAGTTTTTGATATACGATCTGTGATTGAGGAAGAAGGAAACATTATCAGACTATCGTATTTACTTCAGCAATTGTTTTAGATTGTGTTTCACAAGAAAAAAAAAATCTTACTTTGGTTCACGAACAAAAATTGTTTGAATTAATTCTTTTACAGCTTGAAATGCATACGGAAATTGACTTTCAGGAAAGTTAAAATCGATATTTATGATATTTGCACATGTTTGTTCATCAGTTTCATCAAGAAATGGTGAAAGACCAGATAATAATGTATATAAAATGGCACCGATAGACCTTTGAAAATAATAATTTATATTTAATAAAATAATATTTCTTTTTTTGTTTTTTTTTGTTTACCAAATATCTGTTTTATAATGAACAGGAATATTTCCATGAATTAATTCTGGTGCAGCAAATTCAATATTTCCACTCATACGATGAACATATTTCATATTTGATAAACGAATTGAATCACCAAAATCACATAATTTTATTTGATCATATTCAATATTAATAAGAAGATTTTCCGGCTAAATAAATACAAATTAAAAAACAAAAAAAAAAAGAAACTTTTCAAACTATTTACTTGTATATCTAAATGAACAATTTTACAATGATGTAAATAATTTAATCCATCTAATAATTGTTTCATATATTTTGCTATATTTTGTTCAATTATAATTGATTGTAAACAAAGATAATCAAATAAACGTCCACCGGATATTCTATAAATAAAAAATATTTAAATAGAACAAACGAAAATTTTCTGTTTTTTTTTTGTTTATCTTACAATTCGGAAATAATTATTGAAAATGAATTTGTTTCAATAAAATGAAATACTCGTATAATTGAATCATGACATATAGATGAAACAAGAGCATATTCATGTAAAGCACGTTCATGTGAAATAATTTTTTTTGATATTAGTTTTACAGCACATACATCACCGGTTGATATATGAATACATTGACGAACAATTGAATGACGTCCTCTATTATATAACAAAATAAAAATAAAATCTTTTAAATAATCATTTACCGAGCTATTTCATTCATTTCGTGATATTCATTTGGTCGATATCTTGGTGACCAACGAACTTGTTCAAGTTTATGATGATCATTCGAATCTAAAATAATTAAACAAGAAGAAAAACTTTATCTATCCTATAAATCTTCAAATGAATAAATATATTATGATAGAAAACTACTGTTAACACAATTCGAGTGGGATCAAAATGCGAAAATACGATGTATCTGTTGTCGATAATCGTAGGAAGATTGTTTTATTCGGTATGGTGTAAAAATCTCGAAAAAAAAAATCTCGAAAAAAAATCTCGAAAGAAATAAGCCCGAAAACAATAATATCGAAAAACCGAAAGATCGAAAAATCAAAATCTCGAAAAAACAGTATTTCGAAAAAAAAAATCTCGAAATTGTAAAATTTCGAATAAATGAATCTTGAACAGTCTGCAGGTGTGGGTGTGAGGTGCTTGTGGGTGTGGGTGTGTGGATATGAGTGTGAGTATGGGTGCGTGTGGGTGCCTGGGTGTGGGGTGCATGCGGGTGTCTTGGTGTGGGTGCGGGCGTTGGGTGCATGTGGGTGTGGATGTGGGTGTGAGTATGGGTGCGTGTGGGTGTCTGGGTGTGGGTGTGGGTGCATGTGGATGTGGATGTGGGTATGAGTGCGGGTGCATGTGGTTGTCTGGGTGTGGGTGTGGGTGTAGAGTGCATGTGGGTGTGGGTGTGGGTGTGGGGTGCATGTGGGTGTGGGTGTGGAGTGCATGTAGATGTGGGTATAGGTATACTTGGACGTGTGGGTAGGGCAAGATTCGGATCCGCACATACACCCGCACTCACTTTCAATCGAAACTCATTCCCCACTTACATACTTAACTATTTGAAATCCTATTTTATTCGGCATTTGGTATTTCGAAATTTTACTTTTTCGACATTTTGTATTTCGAGATTTTTGTTTTCGAATTTTTTTTTTCGAGATTTTCGTTATTCGAAATTTTACGTTTCGAGATTTTTTTTTCGGGATTTTTTTTTTCGAGATTTTTTTTTCGAGATTTTTACAGCAATTCGTTTTATTCTATCTATTTTGGAACACATCACAATGCTTTTCTTAATCCTCTAGAAATGCAAGAAGGAAGTCGTAACGAAAAATTATCCATGTACGGTTTATAATCATTTATCAATAAGATCTGTCGCTCCAGCCCCTTCCAAACCTGGGTCCAAATTCACAAAAACATGAACTCGCAGCTCCCTGTCTGTAGTGGAGGGTGGGAGTTCACATTTTTACCCCTATAATTCAACAATCTACTTTTACATCGTACTTCACAAAATATTAAAATTCAAATCTGATGTGTATCATATTATTTCTTTAAAAAATTTTCATCTTTCTCATTCTAGACGTTTTTTTTTCTTCTTCTAAAAACTCTATATTCACTTACCTTTTATTTGAACAGGAATTTGTTGTGAAACAGTACCTTGAGAACTTGTAGCTATACATTCATATATACCAGCATCTTGCATAGATACACAACGAATCTAAAGAAATATTTTTATCAAAAAATTGATATATATGATATATTTTTTTTTAGATAAATACTTGTAAACGAATTGTTCCATCATCTCCATAATGTGTATGTATATTCACACTATCATCAACTAATGTATGACCATGTGGATGTTGCCAAACAATAGCTGGTCGTGGATTACCAATAACATGACCTTGAAGAATTAATGATTGACCAAGAAAAATACTTCGTTCATGTACAGATATATTCAATTCAGGTCCACAATAACGTAAAACACCACTAAGACGCTAGAAATAAAATATACGAATAGAATAATACACTAAATTTATAAACATATATATGAATATATAAAGGGTGTTTTATAAGTAACGATCCCATTTTTAAGGAGTTAAACCATTAAAAATAGGGTCGTTACGTATGAAACACCCTTTATATATATATATATAACATTAAAAAGAAAGACAATAACAACAAAGAAACGACATCGAAATAAACAACATATAAACACAACAGAAAGATAAATACACGGACGATTACATATATATGTCTTTATAAACATCATCACTTTCCATCTCCCTGGATAATAATCAAGGTCATTTTTACCAATAGAAATTGTTATTGTTATATCAAAAGCATTTAGTTCATAGTATATATATATATAAATCTTTTTTTTTTCAAAATGTATCTTCATTCAATCTCATATTTTTAATTGATCATCATTAATATTTTGTCGGAACAAAAATAACAGAGAAAAAAAAATGAGAAAAAGAAAAAAAAAAGAAGAAATAAAACAACATGTTTGCGTGAGCTGCTATATAGTACGCGGAGCGAGCAGAAGAAAGAAAGAAGAAAAAAAAAAAACAAAACCACACTATGACATACACATATATTAGTTTTTTTTTACCAGTTGAGAAAATACACGAAGAAAGAAAAAGAAAACACACAAATACAAACAAAATATAGTATATAATACATAAAGAAAGATATAGCATATTTGATTGCTGCTCGCATAAAAAAAAAAAAAATTATAACAGAGATTCGTAACCTCGTCTTGCATACACACTTGTAGAGAAAGAAAAAAAAGAAGAGAGAAGAGAGATTTTTTTTATACCTTGTCGCAAGTACTCGTTTGAGGTTTAGGAGGTAAAGTTGATTCATAAGTAATTGTTGGATGATGAGTTGTTGATGTTGTTGTTAAACGATGAAGACTATTAGCTGATAATGATGATGTCGGTTGTTGGGAAGATGATGATGGGGGTGGTGGTGATGGAGATAAATTATGATGTATAGTTGAATTAGGATTTTTAAGTCCAAGAACAAAACCTGGTATCCAACCTTCAGCTGCTGGTGATGTACGATTAGCATCACGATGAACAAACCATCGATTATCTTGATTAGCAGCAACAATTTGTACATATTCACCTTTATGAACACATATTTCATCTTCTTTTATTGCATTATAACTATGTAAACAACGAGCTTGTTCTGGTAATTGTGTATTTGATATTGATGAAGATGATAATGATGGTGTTGTTAATTTTTTTTGTTGTGTTATATCATGATGTGTTGAAGTATTTATTGTTAATGGTTTTGTTACTGAACGTTGTAAAAACGAATCAAATAAATTAAAAGCTGATTTTTTATTTGAATTTTCTGTTGTTGGTATTGGTGATGGTGATGTATCAGAATTTGATAATGTTCGGGATGGTGATATTAATGGATTAGATAGTTTAGGTGATGTTGATAAATGATGTGTTGGTGATAAGGATTCAGGAGATTTAGTAGAACGATCAGACATAGATTTTTTTATTTGATTACGAGATGTTGGTGTTACGAGACTTGGTATAAACAATGACATAGACGAGTCTTGCCTAAAAAAATATTAAATAAAAAAAAAAAAATTTATTTGTTAAAACAATTCGAAGGGTTATTTCTTTTTTTTTTTTTAATATTCAAATCAGAGCAGAGCGCATAAAAGCTTATATCAAAAAAACAACCACAAGCTCGCATGAGCAGTTTTTTTTTTCTTGCTTTTTTTTTTTTTCATAAATATCACATATTGGAATGCGATGAAACAAAGGTATGAGCACTAGTGGTAAAATGTTGTCGACCTGATTGTCGCCATTCAGGTAATTCCCACGTCAATAACCTATAGATTTACATTTAACATACATAACAAAATAAACAAAGAAAAGAAAAGAGAATTTTAAAAAAACCAGAAGAAGAAGACCAGGCAGGTTTAGATTGGAAATAAATAAAAAACATGCAAACAAGACTAATCATACAGATAAAAAAGCTTGGGAATAGAAGAAAAATGGTAGTGGTAATAAATGTAGTAAAATAAAGATGCACACAGAGACCATTTATTTGTTTATCTTACGGAAAATCGTTATTTTTTCTTTTCTCTCTCATTGATCTGTATGTGTGTGTGCGTATAATGTATATATATATATATATATATATTTATATAAATATATATATGAATATTAATTTTACTTAGAACGAGGACTATTAGACAAAATTAGAACAGAAGAATATCAAAAAAATGAAAATTAATTGATTTTAAAATACTTACTCTTTTTGTAGAGCAGCTGTTGGATTAGTTAGAGCTAGAAGAAATTTAAAATAAATTAAAAATGTATTTTTATTTAGAATATAGGGTATTTCAAAAATTTTTCAGTATATCATTACTATTCGATTCAAATTATATCAATCTAAGATTTAACACTGATATGTAAAAATTTAGCTTTTATTTAATAGGCTTCGAAACGTGTCAAAGTTATTTTGTTGACACTACGTAGTAAGTTTCACTAACGAGGGAACCATTCGAGATGACACCGCAGTCATTTCATAGGGCCTATTGAAAATAGAAGAATTCTCTCCTATGCGTTGCTCTTTCGAAGTTATACTTTTTATTAAAAAAAACCGAACAAATAAAGTTTTAGGCCAAAATTCATTTGTTCGGTTTTCTCGTAAAAAGCACATAAGAAATAATCCTTCTATTTTCAACAGACTCTACATAATGACTAAAGTCTTATCTCAAACACAAGGTATCACCTCGAATAGTTCCTACGTAAGCACATTGTAACTTCGAACTGATACACCGATCGTTTTAAGTCTAGATACGTAACAGCTGTGTTTATTGACTAATACAGAAAGATGACTATGTGAAAAATATCCAAGATTTAGGAAGGAAGTTTTGTAGATGAAAATCAATACCTATGATAAGATCCATCTGACGTTGAAGCACTTTCTCTACATTTGTAACCCATAATTCATATTGTTCATCATCTTTACATTGACATATAACTCGACGTGTATTACCAGCATCAACTTCGACTAATGTAAATTGAAATAATTCTTTATTACGTTTAAATTCTTTATGTTGTAATTTATTAATCTTAATAAAAGAAAATAAACAAATTTTTATTTTTTATTTTTATTTTTATTTTTATTTTTTCTATATTTACTTTTAAATCATATTTATAAATATAATTTGGACTTGAATATTTATCTTTAGCTGGTAATTCTTCGGAAAAAACCATAGCTTGTTGAAATAAAAAAACTCGTCGTTCTTTTAATTTTTTTTCAATATCTTTTATATCTTTTGTTTCTTTTGTTATTGGTTCACTAACAGATAACATATCTTGTAATTTAAGTTCACCTAATTGATGTACATTTGTTGGTAAATCTTTTATACGACCAACATTCATCATATCATTTGCTAAACGTGGTACTTCAATCATAACTTGTAAAGCACTACGTATAGCACGTGATTCATCACCCATACGATCAGTTGATTTAAGAATTTCTTTAAGTAATAATTGATAACGCATTATTCGTTGTACCGGTTTTATTAATAAATCTGATACAAGTAATTTTTGACCGAGTTTTTTACGAACTTCCTGAAAAAAAAAATTCAATCATGTATAATAGAACAAAAAAAACAAAAATAGAATGCAAAGATTTTCTATGAAAGCAAAAAAAGAAAAATGTAATTACAGGAAATTACTTTAGATTTATATTATTTTATAGATAGTAAAATGTTTTATGAGATTCTCTAAATCTATAGATTGCAAAGATCAATGATTATTTTTCTTTTTTTTTTTTTTATGTTTTCTTGATTATGATTTACTTTTAAAATAAATCTATAACAGTCAGAAGAAGAATAAATCTACCTAGCGGTAGATTCATTAGCTTGATATCTTTCCTACAATTACAGTAGTCACAAAAAAGTACCTAAACTTTAATCCTTTAATCTTATAATTTATAATTTTTTCTTCAAATAAGAATATCTCAATATAGAAAGCAAATCTCAATGATGTTAGAACAGTCCAGTGCTACTTGTATCATCAGTACAAATTCCATGTCAAATGGTTTTAATTTGACTAATTACTCAAGTAATTTCCATATGAGTGTTGATTGAAATCATCAACAAGTGACTGATATTTCCGATTAATTTTAATCATTTGTCTTGAAATTTTCTCCAGCAAATGTTCTGCTCTAATTAAGTTTATTCTCAAAATTTCATGGCTGTAACTATTAATGGAGAAAAGATTCATGTTGAGACTGTCTCAAGATTACACTTAATTAAAGTACACTGTCTATGACACAATATTGATATGTGAATTCTTTATTTATTAATAAAAAAAAATAGAAATTAACGTATTTAAATAGTGAAAAATGTCTTTTTGGCTTCTAAGGAAAAAAAAACTTAGTGTTTTATTCGTTAATACTTTGTGTTAAGGCCTATCAATCTCGAATTGGTGCTTACGATCAGAAGTTACCGAGCTGTATTTGTCGTCAAAATGTCAGGTAAAAAAGAAAGTTGACTTAACTTCTCCATACACACAGACTAATCATATATATCAAAACTTAGTTAGCATATTATCCAACAAGTAATTTGAGATAGACAGCAGTTAGTGATTTTTCTGTTAATCGTTCATAAATATGATGTAGAAGAAAATTTTTGAATAATGAATCTATAGACTTCTGTTAACTCCTATAAGTTTCATAGCTATAATAACACAATGGAAAACGTTGTTCGACACATGTGCATACCACAATCCATGGACAAACTACTAACAACTATTTGTTTCGGATCATCCGTGTGATAGCATGCTGAGTAAGTTATGATATACAGCTGCTCATGTATATAGTTAGTTAATGTGTATGAAAAGGTAAAGTAATTGAACGTCAGAACTCTATGTCAAGTTGATCTTGTCCTTAGAGTTATAGTTGTAAGAGAGATATCAAACTATTGAGTCCGACCTTGGGCAAGGATACTTTTCTTTCCTCTTATAAATCTCTTGCCATTGCAGTCGATCGTCTATCGAGTAAACACTTCTTTATAAAATGTTATATAGAACTAAGTTGTAGCTTTTATCCAAGTGATGCTATAGGCATTTTGTCAAGAGCTCTTTTCCATGCAAGATGTTTTCTTTTTTTTTGGTAAAAACAAAAAAAAAAAAATTCAAATTTTTATAGGATAGCTTTTGTTTTACAAACTGATATATTAATAAAGCTTTCAATTTATACTTTCAATTAATAATAATAAATAAATATGTATAGTTTTACAAAATTTCTTGTTTATTTTTTTGTTGTTGTTACTATAGAGGAAATAGTCAGATGAAAATAGCATGAATATTTTTTTTTCTTTCTTTGATCTTCTTCTCTTTAGACGTGATCTTTTATTCATAATAGAATTTCCAGTTTGTCTCATGTTATTTATCGGTTGAATTCATTTATATTTTATTTTCTTGAATTATAAAGACGATTGAAAAAGGAAACGTTTATGTTTAACAATAAACGAGAAAAAAAAGAGAAAATTTTTTACAATAACTAATTATATATATATATATATGTGTAACTTTTCCAAATGGATGATCTTTAATTATATTATTAGCGATTGTGTAATTGCATAGAGTTTATTTTCTTCTTTTTTTTTAATCTTATTAAAAGTAAAAAAAAAAAAAAAGAAAAAAAACTTACTTCAAAATAATCATGATATTCCGAAACAATATATTCTGATCGTGGTTTATTTTCACAATATCTTACATAAGGACTAAATCGATTTGTCTATAAAAGAGAAAAAAATTTCTTTTTTTTTTGTTTTTTTTTGTCTTCTTTTTCATACGGTAAATAATCGACCGAGTATATCAGGATTTTCAATACTTCCTTCAAGTTGTGGTAAGAATGTACTTTAAAAAAAAAAAAGAAAAGACATTGTGAATAATAAAAATTCGTTTTATTTATTAAACTTACTCTCGATGAAATTCAAAAATTCTCTGTACATTACCAAAAACAACACGTTCAAGACCAACAAGACCTGTTGGTTTTTTAATATCTTTATCATTTTCAAGAACATTCATATAACCCTTAAAAAAAAGCACAAATAAATAACTATAATAAAAACATAAATACTATTATATTATACTTCAACAATCAATGCCAAATCTTTGACGTATTCTTTTTCTGTTTCAATTAATTCAATAATATTATGTCTATCAATCAAAAAATAACAATCTTTAAGTTTTTTTTTTCTTTTTTTTTTTTTTAATTACCTTCGTTTTTCACCATATTTTGTCCGATCATCAATATGTTCATCATTTGTTGTTGTTGGTGTTGAACTATGTAATGCTAATGATTGATCAATACTTGCATCAATATCATGTAAAGATATTTCATCAGTTTGTTCATTAAGATTATCATTTGGAATCACAGTTGATGTTGACGAAGATAATAAAGGATTATTATTATTATTATTATTAGTAGTTGTTGTTATTGTTGATGGAGATGACGATAGAGATGATGATGTTGGTATTGTTGATGAATATTGTTGTAGAATACTTGACGATGGCATCGAACTACTCGTTGTCGAAACATCATTGACGGACGGTGTCGTCACTGACAAAGCAGACGGGATATGAAAATCACTTGCTGAAAGTCCAGCAACAATACTGAGAGGTGCCTATAATAAAAAAAAAAAAAGAAAACATTTTTATGAGAATATTAATCATTTTCTTTTTTTTTTTTTGTCATTTATCAAAAAGTAATTCTATAGCTTACAACATGCTGAACAAGTCGAGCAATAACCGAATCATCTTCAATTGGAGTGACAGATGTTAATGGTGGTGCGCGTACTTTACGTAGACGCGTTGATACATTTCTACTATGGCTTCTGGACGACTCCAGTGCAATTGTATCAACTAATTTTCTTACAACTGTATTGATCTCCGTGTTTGTTTGTTTGTTTGTTTGTTTGTATCTTCTTTCTTTTTTCCCTCTCTCTTTTTGTTCTAAATACTGTTTTCTGCTTAAGATTTTTTCTTTGCAGTTTTGTTGTCGTCGGACTGTCTCCTACCGAGCGGAAATGTACGCCCGTCGATTTTTCTCAAGTTAGTAGTAGGTGTAGTATTACTGATAGGATGTAAAGGATAAAGAGAAAGAGAGATTCGCTCTTTTTTTTCTTTTTCTTTTTTGTTTTTTTGTTTTTTTTACTATGTTAATAGTAAAAATGCTCAAAAAACTAAAAAATGTGCACGTCGTATATGTATAATAATATTGTTGTTGATTTGTCTATTAAATGAAAATGTCATAGAAGATGATATTGGAACGTCGTCATTGTCGTCGATAGTAAATATAAGACAATCTTTTTTTTTTGATTCACCAACAAAGTAATAACGTAGCACAGTGGCAAAAAAAAAAGAAGAACTGAGAATAAGAGGGTATGTAAAAAGAAAAAAAAAATGCGAAAAGAGAAGGGAAAAAAACAAAGAAAAGAAAGAAAAACAGCTACTATCAACTGGTCCCGTTGTCGTTTGGCCTCGCTCGGTCGCCTAACATTATTATTGCGATTATTCGGAAGCGAGCGCGAAAAAATGCGGACGCCCATCATCATTTTCTACTGTTCTTGCCGACACATTTTTCTGTATGTATGCGCAGGCGCACACGAGTGCGAGCGTTCCGGCCGATGAAGTATCAGCAACAGGAGAACTAGTAGTAGTAATAGCAACAAGCAATGCAATTAGATGACGAGAGAATTGAAGGAAAAGAGCCGAAACATTCTCGTTTTTGTATACTGAACGACAATGTTTTTGTTATTACTTTATTTGATATAAGCAATTGTCTCATTATAATCTATGCATTTTACTATGACCATGATTAATGAACATTAAAAAAACATTCGATAAAACAAAAACAAAAAAAAAGAATAAATATCATTGACCAGAATATTTAATGTATATATTTATTTGAACATTGTGTCGACATAAGAGTTCTTTTTTTTTGTTTTGTTTTTCTTTTGTCTATGATATTTCTTCTATCTCGATTTTTCCTTTTGTATGATTCTTATTAACAACACTCTCTTGTTGTTGTTGTTATCTTCTTCGTCTAAATATGTAATGGATGTGTTGAGATAACGCCTTCATTGCGCTTAGCACTACAGTATACATATATAGGTCGATGAAATCGAAAGGAAAGAGAAAGAACAACTGCTGTTGTTACTACTCTCTATACTATCACTAATATAACTTCAATTTTTTTGACGTCACCTGATATGAATAAGAACGAGAGGAGGAGGTAAAAATCCATTACCAAATATGACTATATGACGTATGCAAAAAAGAAAAAGGATGACGTATTACTTACGAGTGAAGAAGATTCGTCCGTAGTGACTTTATCAACATTTGTATCAGCAGATAATTTTGGTTGAACTTGAATATCCATTGGTGGTGGTACTTCAATAACATCATTTTCTAAATCATCACCAGCAAGTGTTGTTGATGGAGATATAATTGTTGTTACACTTGATGGTGATGAAGATGATTCAGTCATTTTATAAATACCATTCATACCAGCATTACCATCCATTAATTTACTTGATGAATTCTAATATAAATACAAAAAACAAAACAAAAAAAATACATATTTTTATTGATAAGAAAATATATTACAAAATAACAAGAAATATATATATATATATATATGTACTTCTAAGAATGAAGAACAACAAACATCTTCAACTCATATATGAATATATTCTTTGATCACCATGCTATTTTTGCTAGACACAAGTAGCATCGAATTACGCTTCTACTTCCTCTTCTATTCTCTTGGGTCTGATGGCGACACCAATTTTTCTTTTTTTTTATGTCATTTGATGGGTGCCGAAAGCGAGCATCATCACTTTCCGAGAACGAGTTTTCTTCTTCTTCTTTTTTCTTATTTGTTTCAACCAATGTGCGTGCTTGTTGAGTGTTAACATGAAAAATACGTCAAAAAAAAAAGCAAAAAAAAAAGGGAAAACTTACATTTTTTCGAATAGTCCATTTTTTTGATGATGGTAATAATTTATATTTTTTTGTCCATCGAAAACGAGGCATCTTTATTTATTTATTTTATTCTTTGCTATGTCTTAGTTTTTCGTTTTCTTTCTGCTTCTTAAAATCTATATGCTCACAAGTTAAATAACCTATCGAGTATGGGCAAATAATCATTCGAATGACAGAAAGGTGACGATGTCAAACGAAAACATACACATTGTATAAAGAAAAAGAAGAAAAAAAATCAGGACTCGAATATAAGGAGAAATACGTTCTTTTTTTTCTTTTTTGTACACACAAGAAACTGAATATTTCGAGAATAAGACGAAAGAAAAGAGAAAAAAAATGGATGTATATATATATATATACATATATATGCTTATTTATGTGATGAGGACAGTGACCAGTACTACATTATAAGACTCATACGAAAGAACACAATGAGAAGACGACGTAACAGATATACATCACATCGATTTGCTTGTGTTATTCTATTTTTGTTCGTTCTCATAAAGTATATTCACATATATGTGATTTAAGCCATCCTCGGGCAAAAAGAATTGCATAAGAGAAAAGAAAGAAATGTATTATTACTCAGATGCTACTAGTGATAAAAGTCAATAAGTGTAAAGAAATTTTTTAAAAATAAAAAAAAAAGTTTTTTTTTTATTTTTTTTTTTTTATTACATACAAATGAATGTCAAATGGGCATCAAGTTTTTTTGATTGACATCTTTAAGAAATAGTTCTCTTGAAAAATGAATGAGTCTATTATAATATTCTGACTTTTCTTCTTCTTTTTCTCATTCACTCCTATCAAGACTTCTTCTTCTTCTCTTTTTTTTTTCAACATGACAAAACATAATTGCAAGCTTATCAAAAAACATATATAAAACGGAAATTGCTTCATCGAAACAAAAGACACCATACCGTATCATCAGGAAACAACGTCAAATCATCGGAGTTTGTAAATGTGAATGCCTTTAGAGAAAAAAAAAAAGAAAGATTTTAAGATTTTTTTCTCTTTTTAATTATTATTATTTAATACATACTTTGATTTTTGTTGATGTTGTGGAATTTGATGATGATGTGGATTGTTTTTTATTATTATTATTATTATTATTCGATGTACCATCACCACTATCCGTTGATATAATAGATGTTGATGTAGTTACTAAATCACGTGGTGTTGAATTTTTAACATCTTTACTACTATTATTATCTTTTAAGCTAAGACGTCGAACAGGATTTTTAAGAATTCGCCTAATAGAAAAGAATATGATCCACTGTTTTTTTTGTTTTGTTCTATTAGTAAATTACCTAAAACTAGCTTTACGTTTACTAAAATGAACAGCTGGTGATTGTTGTGGTCTTGATTGAGAATCGTCTGTATTAGAATCTAGATAAATAAATAAAAAATTTATTTGTTATTTTCCTTTTTTTGTCAATGATAAAAGAACAAGAAATAAAAGAAATATATATATATACAACTTCTATCGGCAAAAGACAAATTTTCTTTCTTTATGTTCTATTCTCATATGGGAATACTAGTTCAATTCTATATATTTGATTATAATAAAGAAGAATATTTCTACAAGATTAGAATTACTGATAACTACATAAAGAAAAAAAAAAAAGAATATATATATATATATATATATATAACTTGAGGAAAAATTCATATTTTTGTTTTATTTTTTTACCTTGTTCAGTTTTATTAGCACTTGTTGAAAGAGCTAATGGTGGTAATGGATGAATATTTGATGCTGATGATTTAGTTGATTTAAGAATAGCTGCTGGTACAAGTCCTTCAATATATTTTGAAGATGATGATGGTGATGGTGATGGTGATGGTAAATCAATTGAACCAGTTGTTATTGTTGTTGATGATGTAGCAAGTGATGGTGGACTCAATGGATTATAATGTTCATTCAATACACGTATAAGACACCAATCAGGTGCATTTGGTGGTTGTCGTTGTACGACACGAACATGTTGTCCTTTACTTACACTTAATTCTTGTGAACTGCGTGCTGTATAATCGTCTAATACAGTTGTGACGTTCGAATCCTATGATAGAATCGTTAGTTATATATGTAATAATATAAAACAAAAATAAAATAAAATACACCAAAAGAAGTGTTGCTTTCTTTGTCACTCTTATATATACATATCTTGATGGATCCTATATATGATCAATCAATCACCTAACCAATCAATCAATCATGAAAGTTGACTATCATTTATCAATTTTTAGGTAGTTACCCATCGCAACTTCATCTTGCGCCAGAATTCCATAAAAATATTACAGGAAACACAATAACTAACAGTCAAATGGCTTGATTTATTAGACGATGAATGAAGACAATCTTGTCGAGACAAAAAAATGAGTATAGATGACTTAATGAATAGCGACAAAACTGAAGTGTTATCTGTCTTTCCGTCCAGTCAAGTGTGCGTCATTCTCGGTAGTCACGTACGGTGCAAGACGTTATTTGTGTAGCGGAGAAGAAAAAATGAAATCAGCATCGATGATTATTTATTAAATAATACTCTTCTCCCTTTTCTCTCTCTCTCTCTCTCTCTCTGTCTCTTATGTGAGAGCATGTCTTTGTATATATGTGTTGTCGTCGACGAACGAGACTAAATAATATTGGTGTTGGTAGTGTGGTAGTCGACGTCCTTCATTTTTTTCTTTCCCCGTGTTTGCTACAACGATAACTACTGCTTCCATAATCAAAACAACGACATCATTCTATTAATCACCATGATTATTTTATTTTATTCTTCGACTTTTCTTTTTTCTCTTCATCATTAAACAGGAAATAAATAAAAAATAAATTGTGTATAGGATATTAAAACCTAGTGAAATATTCTATACAATGTAAATTCTTATGAAACAGAAAAAATAAAAAAGAAAATTTTTCTTTTTCTTTTTTTTCTTTTTCTTTATCAAGTCTTTTGCACATTAATTATTTTATTATTGACATTATTCTTCTTATTATTCGAATCAGATATGGTTCAATTATTTTGGTTATGTATGTGTCGATTTTGTATGTATATATGCTCGTCTTCATTCGTTGCCTTCCATTTTGTCGTCTTCGTCTCCCTCTCTCTCTCTCTCTCTCTCTCTCTCTCTCTGTGTCTTTTCCTTTTTTGCAGTCTTCATTATCATCGTTCTTTCTTACTAGCTTACTCTTGTGCACGAAGACAGGGTTACATTCATTACTTTCTCATGAATGATGGGAGGAAAGGGAAAAACCTGATGAAGACGCATAAGCAAAAAAAAAAGAAAGAAGAAAAAAACATTGGTGTAAAGGCAAGAATCTTATTTTGTTGTTGTTCAAGACAGAAAAATCATAGACTGAGAGGTTTTCCTTGACAAAAAGATGACGATAGACGACAAAATCGGCGAATTTCAACGTTATAGACACTGCACAACACGCCAAACATGCATGTCTAGTTAATTCAATCGAAAAGGAAAAAAAAGTGTGCATGCGTGCGCAAACACACGCAAAGACTGCCAATCAATCTGATGGTTAAGGCGAGTTACAAAAAAAAAAAAAGAAGAAACAAAACTAGATTCAACTAATGATAAAGTTAGTTCTCATTCAAATAGACATGGATGGACTAAGTGGTTTATTATTAATTTGACTTGTACTTTTTATATTCTAAGGGTTATATTAGCCATATGCATATCCACATATATATATAAAAGAAGATGAAAAGAAAAGGTTGTTGTGGTATCAACAGCAATAGTAATTATACCAAAGATCGTTTACTTAAATAAACAACAGCAGTCAGTCCTTCCTATCTTTTTTTTTCTCTTCGCAGGGGATAATCATTGCATATATATATATATATATATATAAAATAGATATATCATTAAAAAAAAAGCATAACAAAAAACAAAACTTCGTCACTTGTCAATCGGAAATATTCTCTAAACATTTAATGAATATATTGTCATCTTAAATTAATCATCTGTCAATACATCCTAGATGAAACATCATATGTATGTTGACTTTCCGAAACATATTTTCTATATATATGCTAAAACAATAACATATCGATAATCCCAAAGGTTTTATGTCACCTTTTGGACATATCGATAAAAACAACCTGCTAGTGATATTATAAAAAAGTATGGAAGAATAATAATAAATGATAGATATTAAATGTTATTTTAATTATTTTTTTGTAGTAAATCTTTTTCTTTTTTTTTTTTGAAAAAAAAAATATATGTAATCTTCTTCGATATTCTATTAAGATAAGAGAAGAAAAAAAAACACATAATAGAGTCTTTCTCGTATTTTGTTTTTCTCGTATGTAATAAATAGAAGTAAAAAAAAAAATAAAAATCTTTTATTTATATGCATTTTTTCCCATTAGAGTATTTCCGTGAACAAAAAATAATCAAAAATTATATACGCATCACTGATTTCTTCAATGAGCTTCCGAAGAAAAGTTTCATATAAAAAAAAAAACGAAGAATATGTTTACCAATTGGCCTAATTTTGCCGTCTTTTTTTTGGGCTTCTTTCTACTAACTATAGGATATATTCACACTTACACATATAGATGAGATAATAACGACTGATGAGACTTGTCTATTTAATCTTTTCATACCCTATTGCTTATTCTAATATAATGCGCTGAGCACACACAAAACATAATATATTAATATAAATAGAAAAATAAAGATGCTGCTTATTTTCACTTACAAATATATATAATCACTAAACTATTACATGCAAATACAAACAGATATTATATATATTAAAAGATGTGCTCTACCTTTCTATGATGATGGGTACGCAGGTAGTGAAACATTGGCTGTAGAGAAAAAAAAAGGTTGTGTACGTCTGTGCGTGCACAGATTTTCCTATCTCTACGACGTCGAATAGCTTGATGATGATACGAGTATATGCACAGGCAAACCAGGCAGGCAACAGATGTTGTTTTTTTTTCTTTTTTTTTTCTATCTGCCCCTTTCCCTCCCTCTCTCTCTCTCTCTCTGTCGCTTATCCACAGACACATATATATATATTTGCCGTTGTCGTCATCATCATTAACAGCACATACCCACCTCGGACAAACGACGAATATCTTTGAGACGTTTTTTCATAGCATATATTGATGTTTTTATAGAACGAAGAAGGGCTGTAGTTGATGGTGTTGATGAAACAGGAACGGATTCAGGTAGCAAAGACGATACATTTGTATTCGTCTGTAGAGGGGAAAGTGATGGTTGTAAATTTTTATGATTTTTTTTCTCAGAAAAATGTTTTATACGATTTGAATTTGATGATACAGTTGAAGATGACGCTGATGGAGCTGATTTTGAACGATTATGTAAACCAATATATGATGATAATGAACGTTTTCGTCGAAAATGATACGGTGCTAATAAATTAATTGCTAACGGTGGTTGACATAATGGTGGTGTTGATGCTGGTGATATATACAATGGTGATGATCGTTTTGATTTTTGATATTCAAATTGAACATCTTGATAGATATTTTTTTCATCATCAACATCATCATCATCATCGGATGGAACTTGACATGATATATCACGAAATGATGATCGATCAATACTTCGACTACAATGTTGACAATCAACTAGAATTGGAAATGGATCATAATTATGATGAGATGAATTTTGTATAAAAGTTAAATTATCGTATTCATGTTGTTGTTGTTCTTCATTTGTAGATGGATAAAAAAAATCTGAACCATACATTGATGATAAAGGTGCTAAGTTGTTATATGGAGAAAATAAAGATTGACGTTGAGTTTTGTTATTATCAAGTACATTAATCAAAACCGGATGTTTACCAACTGATTTTTTATGACGAAATGAGGAAAACTGAACTTTGGTATCGGGCATTTTTTTCTATTAATTTAATAGGAAAAGAAAAAATAAAAATAAAACTTTTCTTTTTTCTTCAGGGAAAGAGAAAAGAACAACGGAAATTATTATACATGGAAAAATGAACATGATTGATGAAATATTAAAAAAGAAAAAAAAATATTTAATCTTATTTCTATATTTTATATGAGAATTTCTTTTTTTCTATTGTTATAGAATTATGATTATTGCAAAAAAGTTTTAGAGAAGATTATTTCGATTTTTTTTTTTTATGTATGATCTCAAACAGTAACCGAAAAGAAATATATTGTGAATAATTTGCAGAGACAATTTGAAGTAAAAACTGAAGATGGATAGTCTATCTCATATTGAGATCTAAGCTGAAAAAAAATGATTTGTTATTGTTGTTTTTATCGATAATTCAAATCAATCATGTTCATTTATTAGATTGAATTTTCTTTTAGCTATATAAACATTCGATATATATATATATATGTATTAACTATATATAATCGATTGTTTATAGAGCGAATGATAATGGAAAATTAGGTTTTAACCTTGGAAATCCTTTTTATTTTGTTCTTCCTCACCTTTCTATCTAAATCTTGATAAAAATAATTCTTATTATCATCATTATTTAGAATAGTTGATGTATTTGTTATAGATGATAATGGTTCATCGGTAAATGTCATTGAATAAGGTCTATGAATTGATATATTCTGATTTTTAATTAGTTTTGGATCAACAACTGTTGATGAAGAACATCGTTGTCGAAAAGAATTAAATAATGTATTTGATGTTGATTTTTTCGAACGAGGTTTATATTCTTGTTTTTGATGCATAGAATCATAAGTTGATAGATTTGTTTTGTTGAAAGATGTATCTTGTAATGGTTCTCGTTTTGTACTATTGTCATTATTATTTGTTGACGCTGCTGTTGTCTCATTTGTCCAAGCATTTATCTTACGTAGAACTCGTTCAATTTTTTTTGATATTGTGTGTTGAGTTTTATTTTGATTATTTCCATCATCATCGTCATCATCATCATCATCATCATTATCATCATCATCATCGTTACTATTATACCATTTACGTATAGTATTTTCCGTATGTTTTTCTTCTTCAGTTCTTGTCGTTGTTGTTATAGATTTTGAATCGATTGTTGTATTTTCTTCAATTAATATTGGACTATATTTCCATTGATGTCGTTTCTTCTCACAGCTCATTCATTGAAACTGATTGGGTTTTCTTTGTTAGAAATATACCATATACAAGAAAATCCATTATAGACAAATAGATTTCTTCTTTTTTTTCTTTGTACCATTTGATAATAGAAAAAAAAGAATCTCTTCTCTCATGTTGTTTCTGTCTTCAATCAGAATATATGTGGTCTATATTTTTTTCCTCGTTTTTCTTTTTTTTCCACCATTATATTCACTTAATAGATAATATATATATATATATGAGACACAAGAGAGAGCGAGAGAGAGAGAGAGAGAGAGAGAAAATCAACATGTAGGCATATATCCATGGATGATAGATAAACTTAGCTACCATACCAATCATTGGCAGCATTGTGGATCTTCTTTATTTTTTATATTCTCTCATTCCTTTCTTGTTATATCTGCTTCTTTATTAGCTGTGAATGTTCGATAGGGGACAAAAAATAAAAAAAAAAAAGGAAAAACTGTCATCTATTCAACAATAATAAAATAAAAAAAAATAACTATAACAGACAAAAGAAAAGAATCGTATATTTACTTATTCTCAATCTAGGTCATTGTTTTTTAGTGATTTGTTTTTGCTTTTGCTTTATCAGCTATTATTACATTTCATATAAGTATACAACACAAAGAAAAACATATCGGTTTAGTATCATTCGGCACTTACGGCAATATTTATAAATAATTGTTTACTATTTGACAAAAAAACAAATGTATATTATATATATATATATATTGAATTTTTAAATACAACAGTTTGTTTACTCAATAGTCTATTCATACAATCGAAGTTTTTTCATCTTCATATGTACATATTATTGAGATTAGATGTTTATCTTACAGTCAAGAAGAGTATGTATATATATACATATTGGTACAAAAGAAAGAACATTGTTTTGTCAAGGTTATTTTGTTGACAGATAGTTCTCGTCTCTCTAAGACTCGTCGCATAACACATGCAATTACTAAAAGAACATAATTGGGTAGATCGTAAAAAAAAAGAAAACAATATTGACTATAGGAATCGATAGAACATATGCTAGAGATATTTCTATTTATATGAATAATGAATAGATTCAATAGACAAAGACTTTCTTTTTTTGGTTTTGTTTAAATGGTTACTATACCTGTTGAATTTGATGATATTGACCACTACTTGAAAATGAACCAGTTGTCATACTTGATAATGAACCACCACGACTTATATGTTCGAATTCATCGGATACATTATCAGCTATTTCTTGTGATCGTCTAGAAAGAAGAAAAAAAAGAATTAGAAGATATTTTCTATGTATCAATGATGTCCTTCGATTATATATCCTTTTCCATTGAATTATATGTACGAAGACATATATCATATTTATTACTTATGAATACAATATGATTTGACTAACGAGAAAGAAATAGATTATGTGTATTCTATGGTCGCAGCGAACATTATCGAAAATAAAGATCATCAAATATCTTTCGATGATCTTCATTTTGGCGATCATTATTTTCATTCACTTTATATATATATATATATACTGATACTGTAGATATCATCTTAGAATATCGCCGATAGGATTTGATCATTAAAATGTAGATTGCCGAATTTCAATGATATGACTTTCGGTGAAATGTATATAGATCAAATAATATTTCAAATTTATAGTCTAGCTGAAATGTAGATTTAATAATATTATAAATCGAAAGAAATAAAATTTCATTGAAAATATTCTTTCAATATGAATTCTTATTGCTAAAATGTCCTCTAATTTGATTGGTTATTATTATATATTTTCTATTTCTGTTATTTATATAGGACAAAAAGAAAAGCATAAGATTAATAGATTAGTTTTATGTATTATATTAATAGATTTCAACTTAATAATAATTCTTAATTTTCATACCTATCTGACTGATTATTATTAATAAATTGTGAAATTTTATTTTGTATTGTTGTTTGTTTTGTATTTGTTTCATGCATTGATAAATCATGATAAAGATCATTCTCTTGAATGAGTTCTCGTATACGTATAACCCATTGTTGTTTTGTACTAAGATCATTTGCCTATAACAAATAAATTAAAATTAAAATTTGCCTTTTTTTTGTGTGTGTGTCTAATCAATTTTTTCTTAAATTACTTTAAGTGTTACTCGAAGATCAGCTGTATGTGATGACATTGGACGACCTGTATATAATGCAAATTTACATGGTTCACCTGCTTCTAAATGTTCTTTAACATCAAAGATTTCAGCAGTCTAATATAATTAAAAAAAAAAAAAAAAAAAAAAAAATTCTTTTTTTGTTGTTAAGAAAAAAGCAATTTTGAACAAACCATTAATTTATATTTATAAATATATCGAACAGTTCCACGTGTAACTGGTTTAAGAATTTTAGCAATAACAATACTTGTTTCAAATAGAAAAACATGTCGTTCTTTTCCTTTTTTTATAAGTTGTTTGGAATCCCATATTTGAAATGTATTTTGAAGTAGTACATCACCTAATGCTTCTTTTGTTAAACCAGACTAAATATATTAAAATCAATAAAAAAAAAAAAAAAAAATTTTAAGATACAAACTTCAAGTTCTTCAAGATAACTAAGATGCATTGCATCATTTGCTTTTTTTGGTACACTACACATAAGATCATAACCTTCTTTAACTTCACCTTTGGATTCTTCACAACAAGACATTAAACGTTGAAGTAATAATTCATATTTAGTTATACGTTGAACAGGTTTAATTAAATAGGAATTTATTGTATCAATTTGATATTTATGTTGAATTGTCTAAAAAATCAATGTCGATGTCAAACAGGATGTTGTCTTTTCTTTTTTCTGGTTTATTAATAATGGCATTTCAAGGAAATGTCGATATGCACAAAAAACAAAAAAACTAATAGACAGAGTGTCTACAACGGATGTAAGAATATTATTATGTACTTAGATTATATAAATATATGTTTTTCTTTTCTATTTTTTCATACAAAGTATAAAGCTAATTGGAATTATTTAAAATTGGAAAATTTTAAAAAAAATATTTTTTAAACGAATAATTCATATTTCATTATTCTTTTACTTTCACTCGGACCAATTTATTACTAATAATAATTATTAATGAACTTTTTCAGATGATGTTGTGTCGACTATATATCGATCAGTTCGTGTTTTTGATTTTCACAATATCAATGATCGTTCAATATCTCTACAAGCTGAAGTGTAGTCATCAGAAATGCAGTGTAAATCCCTTCGGGCAAAAAATTGCTTGAAACGAATAATAGTTGAGAAAACTTTTACTAATATAAAAAGAAGCTTTTTCTAATAAAAGACGTCAATACAGAAGAATAAGCTAAATCGACACTAAAAAAAAACGAAGAAGATACTATTGGTAAACTGAAAATTGTCATAACGAAGTACACATTTCTTTGATATATGCAAGATGTGAACTAGAACCAGAGTTGAAACTTGATCTTTCTTAACGCATAACATAAACAGAAAGGATAGAAAAATAAGGTCTGACTGTCAAGACAGTATCTGAATGAGAAAAAAGGAAAGTTTTTTTAATCAACCGGACTGGTTCCAACTCTGACTAGAACTTCTTATTAAAATTAATTCTAATGAAAAAAATTACTTGAAATAACTGATTAATTAGTCGCGAGCGAACTTTTTTTTAATTTGAGACTTTGTACCTAAAACTTTCAATCTATTCGATTTTCGCTTTATCCAATAGAAGACTTCAGATCTTCTATTATTTATCATTTATTTTAATTAAAAGGATTTTTCAAACAAAAAACAAAAACGATTTTAACGATTCAGAAAGATATTTTCACGGATTAAATAATGTCGATCTCAGTGTTTTTTTCAAAAATTTTCAGCTCAAAACTTTCCGCAAGAACTTATTTAATTATAAGAAGACTCTTCTCTTACGTCCTCGGAGAGTTTTCTATTACGAGTAGATATGGACAAGATGGTTTCAATCCCAACATCTTTTCATAGGGAATGAATACTTTTTATGGTCATATAAAACTTGTGTCGAATGTCATATTATCACGACCTATGTGTTATGGACAAAATGATCTGAGGTCTCGAGGGAATCAGACCGAAACCAAGAACAATTGGTTCCGCTCATGTTTAATTACAGAGAAAGGTTATAGAAGCAAAAATTTTTCTTATCTATTTAAAACAACGACAAGTAAATTTTACCAAAATTTCTTTTATTATCGTATCAATGAAAAACTGAACGGATATTTAAGAAATATCGAACACTATTTGCATTGCTATTACTTTTCGTATACTTTAAATATGTGATATTTTGAAAATAAATTTTTTAAAATAACTTTTTGTAATATTTACCTCAAAATATGGACCACGATATTGTGTTAATAATTTAATACATGTTTCATTATTTTTACAATATTCAACATAATAAATATGAAATTGTTTTGCCTAAACAAAAGAAAAAAAATATATATATAAAGTTTTTTTTTTTGTATTAACCAAATTTTATTTACCCATGTAACAAAACAATGACCAACATCTTCAGGACTATCTTCATATCGTTCTAAATCTTTGATGAATAAACTACAAAATAAAAAGAAAAATTTTTTTTTTTAATTCATTATTTATATATTTGAAAATAAATTTGAATTTACTTCTTATGAAAATTATGAATTTCTTCAATATTTAAAAATAATATTGATTCTTTATTACGTAAAAATTCTGGTACTTCTTCAGAATGTTGACGCATTTCACCAAGATAATGCTATAAATAGAAATTAATGATAAGAAAATTATTTTATTTAAATAAAATATTCTTTTCAACTTACTTGAATACATTTATTTAAACTATCAACATAAGCACGTTCTGTATTAAGTAATTCATTAAAAATTAATCTTAATTTAAACAAAAAACAAAAAAAGAATTAAAATTTTTAAAATAACTTTTTTTTTTTGTCTTTTTACTCTCGTTGTTTAGCTGCTTTTCGTTTTCCTTCATTTAATTCTTGTTGTTCTAATTTTTCTTCTAAACTTGAATCACTTTTTCGACCAGCTTCTTTATCAATTTCCTTTAAAAAAAACAAAATCATAAATTTATCTTTTTTTGTTCGAAAAAGTATAAATACAAACTTCTTTATTATTAATTCTCATTATTTTTTGAAAAAAATTATTAAAACCAGAATCAAGTCGATTACATGTATCTTTAATAAGTGGTGCAAATGAATGTGAACGTTCGACTAATACATCAGCGCGTTCAACTAATTTTCGTACCATGGTTTTCTTTTCCTTAAAAAAAAATACATAAATAAATATATTGATCTTCCTGAAAAAATTCTCTTTGCTTCAAGATATTTTCAAAATCATCAGACCTGTCTATGGGCGAAATTTCTTATAATATGAGTTCAAACGGTAGATATCAGGTTAGGGTAATGGTATTTGATAGGATCTCTGGAAAACTGATTTTTTAATAGGAAGATTTTTGGAGCTCGACCTTTCATCATAGATGCAATTCGTACAGTAGAGGATTAAGATGCTTCTTATAGTCTATTTAGAACACATTTTTTTTTTGTCAAATACTGTTTGAAGTGTCTACCTATATTTTGTTTGCTTCTGTTTGAATGAAACCATTAAGGTTCTGAGAGTACTTTCAAAAACTCATGTTTTTTGGCTAGAGCTTTTTCTTTTATGAACTATTGCAAATATAAGCAGTACATTATATTTGGAAAAATACGGAGACACTCTAAATATTTTCTAGTATGAAGAGAACAAAATTTCAGCTCGATTAGATGTGCGGTAATCTAAAGAACGAAGAGATTCTCAACTGTTTTAGATGTATTCTTATATTTCCTTACTGCATTGTTTTGACTTCTTACTATATCTATCACCAACCATTGAAACACAAGCAAAAATCTTTTGTCTTTTATCACCCAAGTGATCTTTTCTTCTATATATTCTAGGTATTTGGATCTATCAAAACATAGATAGTATCTGTTCTAACATTCTCTTGTGAATGTTTGTTGACAGACATGATAGCTAGTAATGTGTTGAAAAAAGCCTAGAACAATAACAACTACTTTTTCATATCGAACACGAACTATAAGGTCATTGTCCGAACACGAACTGGAATCCGCGGTTTAGTACATATCTATCCAAAACAAGTTATCATTGAAGGGTTATTTATAGAGCATTATATATATATATGGGTAAAATCATTCGTTAGCGACGTGACATCGTAAACTTGGAGTATGCATATCTCGGCACTATCAACTAGTTTAGGTGTGATTTTTGAATGGTGTACGAGTCTCTATTTACTCTAGATACTATGAAAAAAACAACACTCTAGAGCTTTGTTCAGAGGAGTTATTAACGAAAAACTAGCGTTAGCGATGTGACACCAAAAAGGACATCAAAAGTCACTTGATATACTTTGGTTTTTAAAAATTTCTAAGTGTTGCACAATTGTCAAAAACTTAATACGCGATACTAGACACCACTCCTAAGGCCATCAAATCCCAGTGTAAAATTATTTTGAGAATGTTTAGGTTTTTAAAAAAATAAAATCTATTTGGCGTTAGCGACGTGACAACTTTGTTAGCGACGTGACTGAGTACGACTACACTACTGATCGAATGCTCTGGTAACGAACTGAAAAGTTCGAAATCGATTCCAAAGGGCTCATATTAATGGTAGGAGGTCCTAGAATAATACTAAGACAAACATTTCCATTTCTGCTCTGTCTAAGGGCTCTGAAAGGTCGATTTTTTGGAAGGAACTTTTTGAAGTCCGATCTCGATGA